GGTCTGCTCATATCTAACCCACTTTCTAATGAGTGTTTTCCCACACTTTTTATTATGAAGAATGTAATTAACATTCATCACCTATATAACCAGTGTTTCCCATGTTTGTGTGAATTCTGTCTATATAGCTATATTCTTGAGTCCTTGTGCTTGCCAGACAGGCTTGCCAGACAGGCGCTCTGCCACAGAGCTAAACCCTTGGCCCTCTAACACATATTCTTTAAAAATATCTCAGGGAGGTAAATAGAATTTAGATGTGTTATGTATGTGTAGCAACTCCCTGTGATAAATATGATCATTATGCTCTGGAAGCATGCACTAATAAAAATTTTTTAAAAATGTATGACTACTTGACTGAAAAAATTCTTTAAAAAAATCTCAACTGTTGGAAAGTACGTTGCAGATTTCATGACATTTTACCCCTAAATGTTTAAATATACCTCCCAGGATTTAAAAGGTATGCTCCATTATATATGCTGTTATCATATGCAAGGAAACTGTAACATTGAAAACTTCCCTCATCAGTTTTTGGCTTCATGGTATTGTTGTTTTAAAGAGCCTGGATTTGTCTGATTTGCGATGTTGTTTAACTTGTGCCTGTAGCACCTTCATTTTCTGCAAATTCATCTTAACCTATATGCTTATCTCCCTTAAGTACTTCATTTCTGTATTCAAATTTCCCCAGTGCCCTAAGAATTTTTATAGCTCTTCTTGTTCAAAAAAGGATATGTTTATTCTCTTGATAGATGATTTGTCAGATAATTGCATTCTTTTAAAATTTGTGTCCTGGCTTTGGCCAGCTGTCTTCATATCTTTTCTGTTCTGAATTTTTGACATTTGAATTCATCTGTTCTTTCATACCTGTCATTGTTGTTTAACTATATTGAACTATTGTGGTACAGTCCTTTTCTACTTAGTCACTGGGGTTTAGAGTAGTTGCTTTTCTCAGCAGAAAAGCTTTACATGCTTACTTTCTTATCTTTTATTGTAGCCTAATATACATCTTAGATTACTTATTCTGTTTCTGGTAATGTATTGAATTATCCTGGTCCACAAGTGACATGTGAGTCTATCAGCTTGATAGAAAGGTTGTCCCGGTTTCTCAGTTTAAGACTGACCTCTTCTGCTGTTATATAGAAATGCAGCCTATTTACTAAATGTTGTTTGAAGGAGCTTTCTATTTCTAAATCTAGGATTGTCATTTTATTTCAGTAGCACCGTTTTCTTTTATCCACCAAAATTCAAAGGGATACTTTCTCCTCCTTGTGTGACTTAACTTTGGTCCTGCAGGTACCCTTGGTTATTGTCTATGTTAAACTACCAATATTTTCCTCTTTTACACAAGTACCTCTTATTTTTTCTTTCCAATGAGGGTTCTGTAGGAATATTGCAGGTGTTGAATTTATATTTTCCCCATTTACTTCTGAATTAAATTTTTGTGTTATTCAGCTCTTAGTTGTTTTATAATCTTAAGAATGTTATAATCTTAAGAATGTTTGTTCTTTTTGGTCTCTCTGGGTTTGGGGGATGTTTATGTAAATATCTGCTTTGAATCTGGATGCTTTTGCTTTGAATCAAATGAGTGTGATTCATGGGAATCAGTATGTCTACTGTGAGTTTTAATACCTTTCAGTAATTTGTTTTCTCTCTGCATTGGAATCTATCATATTGTGTTACCTTTTTAAATATGTATCTGGTAAAGAAAGTGACCTCTCTCTGTTCTGGACCATCTCAATAGTGATTGGTTTATTGCTGTTCCAAATAATTTTATAATTCTTAAACACTCTGTGGAAGCCTGATTATTACTGCATTACTTAGGAAAGACTGGACATCTCTGGTGGTATGTCTCTCTGTTCATGAATATACAATATTTCTCCATTTACTTTAGTATACTTTTGCATTAAAATTTATTATTTTTCCTAATATTAGCTTTTCTTTTTGTTTAATTGCTTTATTCTTGGATATCTCAACATACGAGTTACTGAAGTATTTTTTCAATTTAAAGTTTTTAATTTTGTTGTCACGTAGAAATGAAGTTGATTTTTATATATTGATTTTATATGCAGTCACTTTTATGTTTAAGTTTTAATGATTTTATGATGTCATTTTAGGACTTTCTATTGACGTTGTATACATTTATCGTGCATAATATTTGTTTTGAAATACATGTATATTGTGAAATCATTAAATTGAGTTAGTTAACATGTACTATCTCACATACCATGTTTTTTGTGATATCAATATTTTCTTCATATGTCTATTAGCAGCTCTCCTTCCCTTCTTCTACCCTTATATAGTTTATTTGGCCTTACTGATAGGACAGAACTCATTGGTTAATAAAGGCATTTTTATTACAGTAAATTATAACTTTTCAATCTTCCCTATTTATGTTCTTAGCAGCAATATTTTTCTGGTCTTACTTGGGATTTATTCAGATGTTCTGCTTTCCCTTAAAGAGTTTCAAAGTTGTGTGGGTGGCTGGTGGGCTAGGCTGTTTTGGGTTAGTATTCTGTCCTCTGTAGGGTACCTTTCATAACTGCATAACTGTACTATAGTAACTCCTCTTCACTTCCCTATTTCTCTTCTTCACTTCTCTATTTCTCTATCAAAGTTTCTTAGCTTCTGTAATTCAGTGTACTAAGGTTGTTAACTGTGTCTGTTCCTGCACACGTCTCTTCCACTAGATGAGAGTATATTTTGTGGACATCAACTGTTTGCTCTTAAGTATGCCTATGGTTACTCTGCTTTAACAGAGAAAGGTGTAAAAATAGTAATTTAGAAATGAGGACTATATATAGATGTAAAAAGTTTTTGCGAAAACTGTTGAATATTTAGGAACCAACAGGTATGAACAAGTCTATAAAGAAATTTCTGTCAAGTGGCTTGGACTAGACAACTGAAACAGTGAAGAAAAATTATAAAAATTTAGGCTCTTTACTCTGTATAAGAAGGGTCATGGTAAAAAAAAAAAGCTACAAATCAAGGGATTTGCAAAAGGACATGTTTTAAGTTTACTTAGTATCTTATCTTTTGTTCTTTGTTTTGAATTTTTAGCTAATCAGTTGTTAAGACTATTTGATGGTAGTAGAGTCAATAGTACTTTTGTTTCATGGGATATTTTCTAATAGCCAGTAATAACTGATTGATTTATTATTATATTTGAGTTTTCTGTAAGAGTATGCATTATTTATTTTTTTAGTTACATTTATTGCCATTACATTTAATTTGCGGTCTTATTTCTTCATAACTTTGTTACACTATTCAGTGGCCTGTCTCTTATTGCTGTTAAGTAATACAGAGATCTACAAAAGTTTTGTGTCGGGCCTGCGGATTTAGCTCAGTGGCATAAGCGTCTACCTTGCAGGCAGGCAGTCGTGAGTTCGATCCCTGGTACCAATAAAAACGAAAAAGACAAAAAAAAAAAAAAAAAAGTTTGTGTCTTGTTTTTCTCGGAGGGACTTCACACATAGCTTTGGAACTTCTGAGTACTTTGTACTTGATGATCTAAACTTTTTAGATCTAGTTTAGAATTATTGCTATTTCCTTTAGTAGATGATAAAACTTAATTGTGGAAGTGTTTGAAATTTTTTGATTTGAGAGTATTGATGAATTAAGAATATGAGAAGAAAATTTTAAAATATGGAAGTAGCAACTGTATGAAGAAGCAGCTACCACCTTTATGGCCAAAGGAACAAAATGAAGATATTAGAATTATGGAAATTGAGAGAGGCTTAGGGCTGGGTACACCTGTAACCCAGAGCTCAGAAGACTTAAGACAGGAGGATCACTTGAGACCAGGAGTTCATACCAGCCTAAGCAGTTTGGTGAGTCCCTTTCAAATAAACACTTTAGAGGCCTGGACCAGGAATCTCCTGAGGATCTGGAACTAAGGAATGGGTAACTAGCTGGCTAGTGCTGATGTCTTTGATATATGCCATGATCTGATTCAGTGAATTAGAAAACTGCAAAACAGTATTAGTGCTGCTATGCAATGAATGGTCTGCCAGAGTTGTCTGAAATTTATTGACAAGAACAGGTAGCCCTCAAGAAGGAACAGATTCATTCTTTCTTCAGCTTGTACTCTGTCCAAGCCCTCTAGTGAAGAACAAAACTGGAAATCATTTGAATCCACTGTGAAATAAAGGTTTCGGGAATACTTGCTAGGCCCAGAATCTTAAAAAAGAGTAGATGTGGAACTCAAAAGATAAGAACTTAATTACTGACTCTTAAATAACTGCTAATTCTTAAATTTCAGATTACATTTATTTATTTATTTGTTTGTTTGTTTGTTTGTTTATTGCCTTTCTTTGCCTAGTACTGTTGATTGAATCCAGAGCCTTTACTCTGAGCTCCCAGAGAACTCTGAACTCCCAAAGTGCTAGGAGCTTAATGTGAAGGCCCACCTTCATGTACATTATTTTTTATGTTCATTAAAGGAAGATTGGTGTGTCAGGACTAGCCTTTCTTTTTTTTTTCTTTTTTTTTGGTCTTTTTTGTTTTTATCGGTACCAGGGATCGAACTCACGACTGCCTGCCTGCAAGACAGGCGCTTATGCTGCTGAGCTAAATCCCCAGCCCCCAGGACTAACATTTCTTTCACATATATTTTTCTGACATAACACCTGGATCCTTTGCATCATTTACTAGCCATCATTTATTGAAATTTAGGGTCATTTTAAGTTGCTTTCAGCTTTTTAAATATTTATCCTTTCACTTGTATGTGCCCTTCTAATACATTGATTATGGAGCTGAAAACCACTATTCTTTTGGTTTGAGTTTTACTGTCATTTAACCTAGGTCCTTATAGAATAATCAGTTTATTGTCATGTACCTTGATTTTTCTGAAAATTTGAGGGTATATTGTTTAATGCTTTCTTATAAATTTAAATATCCCTCAGAAGTGTTCCTTTGTTCATATCAAAGGAATTAAATTTTTATATTGGCCTTCATGCTAAAATACTTAAAAATAAATCTCAGAAATTTAATTTCCTTTTAATTAGCAGGTGCACCTAAAGAAGGAGGTGCTGGAGCAGTTGATGAAGATGATTTTATAAAAGCTTTTACAGATGTTCCGTCTATTCAGGTAAGCTACCTAGAAAACAGTATTTTCATGAATATTGCCAAATGATATCATATTGCCAAGAGATAGTCACATCATTTGTTTTGTCCCTTTAAAATTTTTTTTCCATAGATGAAATACTTGAGTTACTACCAGGCTATTATTTGTTAGTCATTAGATTCTTAGGTGGTTTTTTTGTTTTTGTTTTTGTTTTTGTTTTTTTTTTTGCTACCGGGGATCAAACTCCCGTCCATGAGTATCCCGACATGATACTCAACATAGAAGACCCCCAAAACTCCATCAAAAGACTAGAGTTAAACTTAATTTGTATCTAGCATAACTGGATACAAAGTCAACACTCAAAAATCAGTAACCTTCCTGTACACAAACAGCAAACTCACTGAGAAATTATGGAAACGATGCCTTTCACAATAGCATCCAAACAAATGAAGTACTTAGGAATCAATCTAACAAAGGATGTAAAAGACCATTGAAAACTGTAGTACTCTAAAAAAGGAGATTGAAGAGGATATCAGAAAATGGAAGCACCTCTTACTCTTGGATAGGAAGAATCAACATTGTGAAAATGGCCATACTCAAAATGGTTGTACAGATTTAATGCAATCCCTATTAAAATACCATTAGCATACTCACAGATCTAGAGAACACATTCCTAAAATTCATTTGGGAGCAAAAGAGACCTAGAATAGCAAAGACAATCCTGGGCAACAAAAACAAGGCAGGAGGCATCACAATCCTTGACTTGAAATTATACTACAAAGCTACTATGATAAAATCAAGCTGATACTGACAAAAAAAAAATCAGACCTGAGAATCAGTGGAACAGATTAGAAGATATAGACACAACTATAAACACACTCAGCCACCTTATTTTTGACAAAGGGGCCAAACATGTACACTGGAAGAAAAATAGCCTCTTTAATAAATGGTGTCTGAAAAATTGGCTTTCCGTATGCTGAAGACTAAAATGAGACCCATGTCTGTCACCATGCACTAAACTGAAGTCAAGATCCAAGATCAAAATATTGAAACTGAATCTACTGTAAGACAAGGAAGGCAGAAATCTTGAAGACATAAGGGTAGGTAGAGTTCATTAACAAAATGCGAACAGAAGAAGTGCTTCAAAGATTTGATAACATCTCCGTAAAAAGCTTTTGCACATCAAAAGAAATCAACAGTGAAAAGAAAATCTATAAAATGGGAAACATTTTAACCAATTATCCTTTAGACAAAGAACTTATATTTAGAACATATAAAGAATAATACCAGCTGCCCCCCAAACTCAAAGACCCAATCCAGAAATGGGCATCTGGGATGAACATGCACTTCTCAGATGAAGAAATTCAGATGGCAAATAAATACACAAAGAAGTGTTCAACATTATTGGTCATTTGAGAAATGTAAATTAAAACAACATTGAGATTCCATCTCACTCCAGAAAGAATGGCTGACATCAGGATATCAACCAATAACAAGTATTGGCAAGGCTGTCAGGAAAAAGGAACCCTTGTCCACTTTTGGTGTGAGTGTAGGCTGGTATAACCACTGTGGAAATAGTGTGAAGATTCCTCAAAAAAAAAAAACCTAGGATTTTCCCCAGAAACTAGGTATTTCCCCAGAAGAATAGAAAACATCATGCCACAGCAATATATGTGCATTCATGTTTATAGCAGCATAGTTTGTAATACATAAATTGTGGAAACAACTCATGTGCCCATCAGCCGAGGAATAGATAAAGAAGATGTGGTAATTTTATACAATTGCGTATTACTCAGCAATTTAAAAGGATAAACTTAAGCCTTTTATAGATAAATGAATGCAGTTTGGAGACTATACTCGTAGATGAATAAATCAAACTTGCATATGTAAATATCATATTGTCTCTGTAAAAAAAATCTGAAAGAGTAATAAGATCCCAAATGTATAATAGATATTATGAAATTAAAGGGAAAGAAATTGCTCAAAAGGAAAGAACAACTGCGATAGGGAAAAGGAGAAAAGAAGGGAAAAGTTTATATGTTACAAGTGTATATATGTATATGTATACAAGATACATAACTACTAATCTCCATAAATTCATTACAAAGGATAGTTTGTGTTTTCATTGTTTGATCATTTTTTCATGCCTAAATCTTGTAATCTGAACAATTACTTTTAAGTTAACAATGTACAATATATTAAGTAGTGTTAATTTCCTACTTTTTAAAAAAATTGTGTATCTTTTTGTTTTTAAAGATAGTTTCACTATGCAGTTCAGGCAATTTAAAAGGAAACTGAAATCTTGTGTTCACTTTGTAGACCAGGCTGGTCTCAAACTTGCAAGGTTCCTCCTGCCTCAGCCTCCAGAGTACTGGGATTATAGGAGTGCACCATTATTCCCTGCTCTTTTGTTTTTAAAATAAAATAAAAATTTTAAAATTCCACGATTCTTTGACTTTTAAGTACTTTTAAGTACCCATTTTGCAAAACTACATCACTGGGTGATTCCTAACTTTTTCCCCCATCTCTGCTCATAGCTCAGATGCAAGCTTTTAGAAAAAAAGTCACATGTTAAGGCTTGTGATTTTTAGTGGAATTCACATGAAATGTGCCCTCAACAATGTGAAATCTTTGTTATGTTAAATTACCTGTGTGTTTTCTTCTGGTATCTGGTATGTTTGTTCCTTTTGCAGCCATTAACTGGCTCTCTCTACCTCTCTCCTTTCAATACATGACTTCATTTTAACTAAACTATCACTTTCTGCCTATGTTCTTCCTCACTATATATTCCTGTCCTGTTGCTTTAGGAGCTTGATCCTTCTCTAAAAACCTGTTATTTTCTTCTATTCTTCCTTTTTTTGTTTGTTTGTTTTTGAGACAGGGTCTCACTCTGCAGTTCAGGCTGGCCTTCAGCTCACTTTGTAGTATAGGCTTTTCTCGAACTCACAGTGATCCTCTTGTCTCAGCCTCCTGAGTCCTGGTATTAGAAGAGTTCACCACCACACCTGGTTAGTTTCCTTTCTTAATACATTTGCACAACTGGTAATTTTGTGGGCTTAAGCTCTCTTTTGTAGAATGTTCTCATTGTTAAAATGGCTGTTTCTTGATTAAAAAATAACTCTTGAGCTGAGAATTCCTTGGTTCAATACCCAGTACCACAAAAAATAAAACAGTAATAAAATAACCAAGGTGTAGTGATACATGCTTATAATCCCAGCAATTACAATGGCTGAGGCAGGAGGATCACAGTTTTTATCCTATTGAGACCCTGTTTCAAAAATAAAATAATTTTTACAATTGCAGGGAATATATCTCAGGGGTAGAGCATTCTTGGATTCAATCCCTGATTCTGCCTTGCCCTCAGGTTGTACTGAACTCCGTATGTTCTAGATATTGTTCTTTATTTTGATCCAGTCAGCCTTTCTGTCCTTAACTGCATCATATTTACATCATGCCACTTTTCCAGCCTCATCCTCTATTCAATCAGGTCTTAAGTAGACCATTCATCATTCTCAGAGTTCCTCAACTGGGTTTAGTGTGTTGTCTTGGTCTTTTAACAATTTGTAACACTGTTGATTATGTCCACTGTATGGTAGTGAATATGACACAGTGTCCTTGCATTTTTTTTCCTCCTTCATCCTTGCCCACTTTTCCTGGTTCCTTTATTAGATGGCATCTTTCTCTACTTGGCCACTGAGTATTAGAATTTCTTAGGGATTACCGCTGGTCCATGTCTTCTTTCTGTTTTTGTACTAAGTCACCGTCTTTAAATCGATGGCTTTGCCTCCCACTTTTAGACAAATACCATCCCACATTATCCCCCAGTCAGACCTCTCCTGGACGCCAAAAAATTGATCCACTATCTGCTTGACATCTGCTTTTCCATATTTCACAGGTATCTCAAATTCAGCCTGTCTGAAATTGGAAACATAATGCCTCCCTCAAAAAACTTGTACTAGTATTGTTTTGTAGAGGTCCTGGGGATTAAACCCAAGGGCGCTCTATCACTGAGCTGTATCTCCAGCCCGCCCCATTTTTTCCCCATTTTTAAAATTTTAAAATAATAAAATTTTAAAATAATTATTATATTTTAAATTTTATAATGGTATCTAAATTGCTAAATTAGACCATCTAGGCTAGGCTTGAATTTGCAGTCCTTCCTGACCCATTCTCTGTAAGTGCTGGGATTATGGGCATGTGCTGCTGTGTCCTTCTGTTTGACTATTCTTTATGTGAGAAACTATTACATAATCCATTAGAAAAGTTAGAAACCTAGAAATCATTATACTACAACTACTACCTTAGTGATCTTTAAACTTATTTTGCTTTGTATACCCCCTAAAAATGTTTAAAAAGTTACTTATCCCTTAATAAGATTTTTTGAGTTGACCCTTTTTCTCCTTATGGATAGAAGAGAAACCCTGCCTTATATTCCAGCCCAACATTTTACAATAAGATTAGAAGTGAGGGGGGTGTCTCTTTTTTCTGGAAAAATGGAAGGGCTATTATGAAGGGAAGCTCAGAGGCTGGAAAGAACTAACTCAGAAACTTCTAAGAGCCTTGCCTCTTCAGCCTTATCATGCTTTTACCTTTTGTCTTTTTTTCTGCTCCCTCTCTCAGTTTAATAGCTACTGAAGGATACAAACAAGTAAGAGTGTTTGATGAAGGACGCCCATATTGTCACCAGGACTTTATTTCTTTCTACCTTTCATTTTGAGTCCTTTGTGTTGTCTTCTCTTCTGGTCAACAACAGGGTTGCAGCTATTTTCAGCCTCAGCACCTTCACTATCTTCTGCCTCTTTTCCAATCAATTCTGTAGAATGCTGGGTTACATATTAAATAGATTTAGGTCTCATGCCTACCTCTGAACCTCTCCTGCAGCGCAGTGATACTATATACTGATTGTCTTAGGCCTGGATCATTAGCTGTTTCTTTTTTTCCTTTGTATTCTTTATTCTTGTACTGAAGATTTTTAGTTTCTGTTGATCAAAGAGCCTTTGCACATATTATTTACTCTACAGGAAAAGCAAATGTCTTTTCAATTTGTATAATAATGTCCCACTCATCTTTTAGCTGTCAGCTCCAGCTTGACTTTACTGATTAGATCAACCCTCCCATCCCCAATAAGTGTATTTGTTTTCCTTGTAGTATGTACTATTTGTAATTTTATAGTCTGTGGTACTGGTTTTTTTAAAATCTCCAGTTATACTGTAAAGTCCATGAGGCGGGGGCAAAAGTTTTTATGTCTATTTTTGTTCCCCACAGTCTCCGAAATGCCTGTCATGTGAATATTTCTTGAGTGAATGAATGATATGTGGTGTCCAGCTAGCTATTTAGCAAATAGTTGACTTCAGAGGAACTAAAGCATGTAGCTACTATTGACTGTAGTCTATCATAACAGTGGAGAGAAAAAGAAAACCTACAACATTTGCTCTTGGCAATATAGTATATTAAGTATATGAATGTACTTTTTAAGAAGTTAGACCTATTTTTATTCTTGCACATTTGCATGTTGTTTTTAAATTTCAAAGCCTTATAAGAATATAGTTGATGTTATTCGTGGAGAAGTTGCAAGAATGATAACTAACAAAAAACATTTTATTTTATTGTCCAGAATATATTCTTTATTTAAAAGTGGTGCTAGAATGAGAAATAATCTTACTAAATGCAAGGATTATTTTAAACATCAGGGTATAATTTTGATATTGTTTATAGCATGAAATATTGTTATAACTATAAATCTTTTCTTCAAGATCTATTCTAGCCGAGAGCTTGAAGAAACCTTAAATAAAATCAGGGAAATTTTGTCAGATGACAAACATGACTGGGATCAGCGTGCCAATGCAGTAAGTTTTTTAAATTTTTTTCTTTCTAGTGTTTCTTTTGAAAAATATGGAAATTTAGTAGTAGTAATACTTACATGATATTCATTCACTAATAAGATAGTATGATAGGCAATACTTCTTTTTGGAAAACACATTAAGATAATGGACATTTTCCAGTGTAGGATCCAGGTTGTTGGGTTTTTTGTTTTTTGTTTTTTGTTTTTTCCTATTTTGCCATTCAGGTGGTACCTGTACCACCCTTTTGGTAGCCTTTCCACTTGTCCAGTTTGTTGACTGACCAGAAAGTGTGAGTTTCAGACAACCTTGGCCTCCCCATATAGTTACAAGTTGCTTACTAGCACCATTCTCAAAAGATTTACCAGTAAAACAGTTCACTTTTCGTAGACTCTCAGGATTTTCATCCAATTGTTATAATTTCACAACGGTTTGTCTCCATTTACTTAGCTTTTTCTTTCTCATCAGTTCTATTAGTATTTTTTACTCAAGATTAAAAAAAACAGGTTAATAATATTTTATTTAACGTAAATTCCTTGAAGAAAGCATTAGATAAAATTTAAAATAATTTTTGTATTTGCAGCAGACTATATATTTTAAGTTTTTCAAATCTGTTAAGTTTATATTACCAAACTGCACGTGCTAAATGAGTATCTCAGAGTTCATTTACAAGAGGGCAGAGGAAGGTTTTTGTTTGAAGGGCCTTTTCTGCTCTTGTAGCCTCTGGTCTGGCTAATCATAAAAATCCCCATTGGTAGATTAAATCAAATATGGCATTTTGGCAGACATGTTTTTGTGATACTATGTACATAAGATTATTTTTCATTTTCTCTTTGTTGGGAATTCTGCATATGTTAAAATGTTTAACAGAATATTTTTAACTGAAAAAAGTATGCCTCAAGATTTGTTTACATATGTTTCATATTCTTCAGTTGTGGAACAAGTTTAGAGTATATTCTTTTATATGTATATACATTCAAACATAAGTGATAAATAAGCACTTACAAATGATAAGCAGTTTCTCCTCTCTCTCTCTCTCTGTCCCCTTTTACAAAAATGAAATCATCCTAGATATCTAACTTAGTAACTTGCTTTTTTTTTCTTAAAAACTATGGTCATTCAGTACACCTGGTATAGATGTCAGTTATGTAATTATTGCTCAGATACTTATTGAATGAAGACTAGTATGTATGTATGTATACATATATTATGTATTATATATATTATATATATTACGTATTATATATTATGTATGTATGTATACATATACTAGTATGTATACATATACTCCTTAGCTCAATATGTGTACTAGGTAATGTATTAAACCATTTTCCATTTGACAGTTTAAAGATATTTTAACAGTGTAATAAATGTTCTTGCACACATTTGTAACAAATGTGTTTTATAGGTTTATAGTGTTTTATAGGTTAGATTTTTAAGGAGCAGGTTGTTGGGTAAAGAGTAGGTGCAACTATATTGTAGTAGATACTACCAAAATATTTTTAATAAAGAGTTTAGTTATTTATGATTTTATTTGCATTTTTTTTGAGAACCTGTTTTTTGTCTAGTACTATATCCTATCTATTGTTTGCCTCTCTCAATAGGGAAAATAATGTTTTCTTATAATTTGGAATGTGCTTATCATTAATACTTTATATTCATATCTTTAATCCACTTAATTTTAAAGATAAGTACATTTTAAAGCTTAGAAAATCTGAGCTAAATGTGATATTATGTATAATGGTCATGTTGAATATACCTTAATTTTTGTGAATATGCTTGAGCACAGATGTATACCTATATTATTGTTTATGCCTTTGTTTTTATTTGAAAACGTTTAGCAGTTACATATTAAAGTATTTTATTTGGAAGCATTTAACAATTGTATTTGTTAAGTGTGTGCATTTGGCATTATATTGTAGTAAATAAGAGCCAACCATTTGCTTTACAAAGTGTGATAACATTAACATATAGACATGATGTTTCAATATCATTTTGATGTTGTATTTTGTTGTATAACAAAAATAAAAGTACAGAACTTATTTTGGGATAGAGCTTCTAAAACTGACCATCTTAAAATTAGGCTCCCTTGCTAGAAAATGGTAATGGTTGTGCAATATTGTGAATGTACTTAATGCCACCAGAGTATATACCTTAATCTGATTAAATGGTAAATTCTGTGTTAATCATGTTTATCATAATTTCAAAGACTGTATTAAAACTTTAACTTATGTATACATTATATATATATTATACCTGTAAGTCTGTACTCTTCTCTGAAAGCTTTCTGAGAAGCTACATTTACAAGATACATTTAATGCTACCAAATATCTTAATATAATTAGGTAAACGTTATGAAATATAATGTTTTATTTTTAGAAATTTCAGTGTGATTTTTAGGTTGCATACTTTTTCTTTTTTACTGCACCTGTTATGTCAATAATGAAAATTCTCTTTATGTTAGCTTAAGAAAATTCGATCACTGCTCATTGCTGGAGCTGCACAGTATGATTGCTTTTTCCAACATTTGCGCTTGTTGGATGGAGCACTTAAACTGTCAGCTAAGGACCTTAGATCTCAAGTGGTTCGAGAAGCTTGCATTACTGTAGCGTAAGTATATTCCTTTTGTGATAAGTACTTTTTTATGAATGAATGTTATCTTCTTCAATTCAGTAAAGTGGTAGCAGGCTAACCCCCAAAAAAGCACATATATGTTTCAAAAGTACGTGTCTTATAAAGATTTGTGTGATTATAAAAAAACTTTCATAATTTATACCAGCCTTAAAATGTGTTTGTATGTCTAAGCCAGTGATGACAAACTTTTTAGCACTTTCAGTGATACAAACAACCACTGCTGCACACGCCATAGGTTTGCCAGCACTGGTCAGTCTTCCGGTAGATTTTTGATAAACTCTGTTGGTTTAAAAAGAAAATGAATGACTTTGGAAACTGACTATATTCAGTTTTCTCATTACTAACATGGCTATTACATACTCTTTTCTGATGTTTTATCAAATTATTTTGGAATGGTAATATACATCATTAACTTAGGACAACCTAAGTGTTTGTAGTTTTCTACAATATAAAGATGGTAAAATACTTAAATTCCATTTACCAATAGCCCCAACTTAAATACTACTGTTGTTATGTGTTCTTTTTGAACAGTTCTTTGAAGATAGAGAACAGCTGTCTTCAAAGAAAAGTAAAGGGTACTTATTACCAATATTTCTAATTACTATATTATTATACTGAAGCTCTAAATCAGAACAGAAAAGAGTAAGCACAGTAAAATCTATGAGGATTGCAAGGAACAGAACTCCTATTATTAATAGGTGATGTAATTACATGTGCAAAAAAAACCCCACAAGGGAATCTATAGATGATTTGTTATAATTGAAGGACTTTAGTTAAGTTGCTAGATATGTCGGTGTGCCAGAATAATCTAGTAACTGGAAACAATCCATAAAATATAATCTTGAAGAATGAAATAGGAATAAAAACCTAGATAAAATACATAAAATAACCATTTCCAAATAATGTCCAGTGAAAGTGAATTGACTGGTCAGCAGGCTTTGACCTGTGGTAGCGCTTTAGAGCGTGGGAAAAGAGGAGGTCAAAGCAGAGCAAGGCACTCTTACTGAGTTCAGGACACAGAGATGCGAACGTTAAAGGTGGCCATAACCAAAATCCTCAATACAGAGTACTGGAGAAAAGAAAGAAATATAGAAGAAGAGCTGTAGAAATCTGTATGGTCTCCTGAATCCTCTTTCTGGTGTATGAAAGGTGTGACTAACTCCCTGAGGAGGGGAAAGAACCACTGCCCGGAGGGGTTCCAAGGTAAACAATTCACAGAGCTCATTTGGGGCTGAGCAAGACTCCAAATATGACTGCCCCAAATGGACAAACCTGGGCCATGGCATGCAGTGGAGACCCCAAAAGCACATCATGTGGGAATAATATTAAACCAGCTTTGAAGTGTAAGACTAATGTACACCTCACCTCCACCGACAAACTTGTAAAAGTCAAGCAGATTCCCAGGTTGTATTCACTTCATGCCAAAAAAAAACTCACACAACAGCTTTCAGGCACAAGTGCCACCTCCCTGTTTTTGACTAGTGATTTCTTTCTTTTTCTTTTTTTTTTTTTAATTTAAAGAGAAAAAAGAAAGGACATAAAGCAGTAAAAGAGTACAAGTAATACAGAATTTCAAGAAAAAAAATACACAGTAACAAATCACTAGTTAATAGACTACATATTGTCTTCCTAGAAACAGTTGTTCAAATTACAAAATTAAAGCATACAAAGTGGACATTCATACAGTGATACTGGAGACAGTTCCGTAGTGATATCTTTTTACCTATGAATTGGGACATAGACAAATCAACCATATGACTGAGTATTAGAAAACAGGTCTGAATCTGAGAACCTCCCTGAATCAAAAACCTGAATTTTTGGTGCGAATTCTATCCAAACCGTGTATTTTAAATTGACTAATACTGCAAGCATTATCAGAACTGTGATTGCAGCATCCTTGTGTGTGTGTGTGTGTATCTGTGTGTGTGTGAAGGGTCTTGCTATGTAAGTACTTCAAACTGGCTTTCAAATTATGTTGCCCAGGTTGGCCTCAAACTCATGGCAATCCTCCTACCTCAGTTTCCCACATGCTGGTATAACAGACATCCACCACCATCATACCCAGCTCTTCCTAAATGTGTTAACTAAAATCATATAATTAAAGACTGAATTATTAACTACAAATTTGGAAAGAGAAAACAGTATCCTTAAGATCGCCCCCACTAACATAGACAGAATTATATTTTCATGTAATACAATCAGATTTTCAATCTGAATTGTAAAATCCTGCCCGAGAGGTATCTTAGAGTGTTTGTGATAAGAAAAATGCCAAATTTAATCATTGGGCTAGCCAGTAAAAGGATCCTAAAAAGAAGGATATATATATAATTTCATTCATTTTTATATCATTAGAACTAATTAAAATAAATTTCTTGAATCAGTAAAATAGAATTTTAAAAATATAGTTCTATCTATATTTACTATTAAATTATTAAAAATACATTTTGGTTCTTTCTAGTCATCTTTCAACAGTTTTGGGAAACAAATTTGACCATGGCGCTGAAGCTATTGTACCTACACTTTTTAATCTTGTCCCTAATAGTGCAAAAGTCATGGCAACGTCAGGATGTGCAGCGATCAGATTCATCATTCGGGTAGGTTTGTCTCCCTTCCCACCCTCAATGTCCTTCGAGAAGTCATTTTGTGTTTTTTAACTCCAAAGGTAGAAATGCTTTTGGATTATTTTTTGGAATAATAAAAGCAACATATAGTCATTATAAATGTAGATAATACAGAAGATTGCAAAATACAAATGCTTAAATATGGAAGATAATACATATATGTGTGTAATCACAGATGTTGCAGACAGCAATGAATGCACAGGCAAAGTCCAAATATTTTGCATCGTATTTTGAGAATACTCAGAACAGAGTTCAAAACATAAATCTCTCTCTTAAATTTTACTGTTCTGTAACTGATCACTACTTATTGTTTTCCAAATTCCTTATCTGTAATTTATAAATATATTTGCCACACAATATAAAATGTATATTTTAACATATATAAATATGTATAAAATATAAACAGGTTAGGATGTATTTATACATAATTAGATACTGTTTAGTCAAAATTTTTCACTGTTGTCACCTTAAAATATTTTTCTATTTTCTGTTCATTGTGTTTTTTACTCATTTATTTCCTTTTGAGGCGGGATGTAATTCAGAAGTTTTTTATTTGTCATTGTTAAGAATAAAACCTTTGTTCAAAGTTTTTTCCTCTGTGCCTTTTAAAACATACATTTTATCTTATTTAGGTCATTTTCCCCCTTAACCAGTGAATCACATTTTAGTATATTTTCGTTTTCACTGATTGGAATTGTAGTTATCCTCTCTCACTTACTGTTTTTTAGTTGCTGTTGGGTCATTCTTGTTTTGCTGTAGTGTTTTCCAGTTTTCATCTTTTGAAATAGCTTTAGTTTTTTGGTGTGGGTGGTGTTTTATTTTGGTTTTTTTTTTTTTTTTTTTTTTTTGGTTTTTTGGCTTACAGAAGAACTAAAAAATTTGACTTGTAATAGGATGTGGTGGCATACTCCTGTATTTCTGGCATTTGGGAGGCTGGAGCAGGAGGATTGCCACAAGTTAGAGACCAATGTGGGCTGCATAGCAAGACCTTATCTCAAAAAACAAATTGATATTTGAACTTTAGATTTACTTCTCTTACCCCACAGAATTGTTTTCTTAACTTTTTATTGTTGTCTTTAGAAAATGAAGTATTATTTGATTCTTTTTAGCAAAACAACAGCAAAACAGCCCTTAGGAATTCTTGTTCCATAGTTCCTTTGTGTGAGAAATTTCCCATAGAAGTTCTAATTCGTCTTTCATTAGTATTACTCCTGCATAGTAGAAAAGGATTTCTGATTAGAATGAATCATCCTTAAATATTTATTTCCTTAAATATTTTACTGTTCATCGATCATTTCTTGGACTTCTGTCTTATTTGTTCAGATTTTTTTCTTTTTGTTTCTCTTGTATGGTTTTTGGTATCTTCGATATCATTTATCGTTTCTTAGAGAATGTCTTATTCCTTTGTCTAACAGCTATGAATATTCTTAGGAAAAGTTAAATTTCACTTGACCATACTCTTTTTGCCATTCTCAGGCTTTGTACTTTGTTTTTATGAGGTCCCTGACTGAAGGTTTTGTGTTTTGTTTTGTTTTGTTTTTGGTACCAAGGATTGAACTCATGACCCCATGTCCAGGAGATGCTTATGCCATTGAGCTAAATCCCCAGCTCCTACATTGTTTTTAAATTGCTCACTTTATATAAAACTTTCTCATGTTATTTATGATTTTTTTGTGGTATTTATGTTATCACCTTCACAAAAATATAAATTAAATAGGTTTTTAAAGAGTTACCTACTGTTTTCTGTGTTTGATTTGTTTCTCAGAGGGCTACTTTAGATTGCTCTCGTTTTAATTTTAGAGAACTTTGTTTTAGTTGTCAGCTTATATTAATAAAGTTGCAGTATTCTGACTTGCCCTGTGGTTGAATGTTTCATCTGTGGTTGCGAGAGTGCTTGTCCTGAATGTAGTAGAGCAGTATTTAGGTTAGTACTCTTTCTGTACTCTTGCTACTGGCATGAATGTGATTGGTCCAGCAGTAGGAGATGGGAGATTTGAGGGGCGAGACTTTATGAGTGAGCAAGGGGAGTAGCTGCAGTGGTAGGCGAGATCTGCTGTAGTACCGTGTGGCTAGGGGCTCTCCCTGGGCTTTATCTTCATAATAGTGTTTGGGCAGTAGGCTCTTCTGGATGCTGTAGGGAGCAGGTCCTCATTGCCCTTCTGGACTAAATAAAACAGTTGGATAATTAATTGGTCTGAATACTCTTGCATTAATTTCATCTTGAGTAACTTCAAGTCTATTGGGAATTAACTTTTCTTATTGCTAAAAGTGAGTTTTTCCTTTTATTTTGGTTTAGCCATGGCAGACACTGATGTCAATGAAAGACTTGTCTCCTTAATGCCAAGAACTTTGTTGGTAGACAATGTTCAGTTCTATTCTCTTTAAGAATTGCTTCAGCTTTAGACAGCTGCCTTTTCCTTGGCCCTTTCTAGTATGATACAATACAATAACTGATGAATGTGGAAGTATAAGGGTCTGACCATCTTGGACCAATTTAAGACTACTGTAAAGGACTCTTTTAGCTCCACAACTCCCTTATGGCTTTAGACAAAGATAGTGTTCGTATCACAGTTCATCATATTCTTTGTTCACTTGTTTTCTTCTCTTTTCCATAGGTAGTGATGCCAAAGGTAGTTCTTAATAAATATTTTGTGTACTAAACTTTTATCTCAGAACTTCTCCTTCAGTGACCCACCTGTACCATTAGCTCAAAAGAAAAATAGATTAAGGTATTATATATATATATATTTAGGTTGCTATTTTATTCTATACGGATTATGAACTTCTTACTGTTTGCTTCACTAAAGAAGAGCATAAGTATTACTAATCAGTCAGAAGATCATGTCTGTTGGACTTCTGCTTGAATTCTAGGGAGGTGTGGCTTAGTTAGAATGAAGTTCTGCTATAAATTGCCATTTCAGAATATGTTCCAATAGTAAGGAAAATAGATTTCTCTGATTATGTGCTCAAATGGCATGCAATTATTTTCTATCAGTAGTAGCCATGGTACTTCAGAGAACAGGGTCAGTCGATTCATTCCCAGGCCCTCTTAAACTATACTGGCCTAATAGTCCTTTCTAGTTCTACAATTAATTTGTCATTGCTGTATATTACTGCATCCACAGATGCCCTTTAGAAATTGCCTGATCTATACTTTCTTTATTTCTCTCAAAATTTGATTTATGGTTTTTGTCCTATTGGAACATAATTAAATATTTGAATATAAAGCAAACAGAAGAGAGAAATACATGAAGTTCACAATATTTTTCATCGTTTTTTGAAACATCTTTTACAGCATACCCATGTACCCAGACTTATCCCTTTAATAACAAGCAATTGCACATCCAAATCAGTTCCTGTGAGAAGGTAAGTTTTAGAAAAAAATGTTTAGTATAACTTTACCATTGAATAATGTTTAAATCTTACTTCAGTATAAAAGTTATCATTAATTTCTTAAAATTGCTTTCCATTAAAATATAATAAAAGTTTTCTTTTCATGTAAGAGATGAGACAATTCTTTTGACTGCTCATACTTCTCAGTTTTATGTTAAGTTTTAGCTTATTATAGCTGGTGAGTGCCTTGTTTTTCAGAGTCTAGTCAGAACTAGGCTAGAGTTTTAAACCTACCTAGAATTTTAAACCTATCCTGACTGAATCTATCACCTTGAACAGTATTTTAATTGGGTATATATATATATATATATATATATATATATATATATAAAATAGGCTAGTGATATCAATCCTATAGAATGCAAGAAATAAGTGAGATACATATTAGTGAAACTTCACCTAGTATTTGAAGCAGAGTAAGTAGCCAAGTCAAGTCTGTCAGTCTCTTTCTTTGTGATTCAATTTTTACAATTTTTAATATTGTAGGCAGAGCCCTTTAGTATTTTGGTAAATATCTATAAGAAAAGCAGGCCCTTTGAATGTTTTGATAAATATCTAGAGGAAAGTCAGGCCATTTAAATGTTTTGATAGGGGCTAGGGATTTAGCTCAGCCGCATAAGTGAGCTTGCAAGCAGGCAGTCGTGTGTTCGATCCCCGGTACCGGTAAAAACGAAAAAAAGACAAAAAAAAAAAAAAAAAAAAGTTTTGATAAAGGTATTTTTAAGTATTTTGAATGATACATAAAAGCTGAGTGAGACTCATTGTATTTCTTTTAAGTGGTTCATAGTTTAGCAACAGTTACTCAGTCACTCGTCTCATGTCAAGAATTAGCTAATAATGCAGGTTATATCTGGCTGACAATTTACTTCTGAGAAACCTATAAGCTAAGAATTTTTTTGTACATGAAAGGGTGGTTTTTAAAAAAGAGGTGGAGAGCTGGGTGTGGTGGTGCATGCCAGTAATCCCAGCACTTGGGAAGCTGGAGCAGAAGGATTGCTGCAAGTTCAAGGCCAGTCTAAGCTACATAGACTCTGTCTAAAAAAAATAAAAAAGGGAAAATATGGCAGAGCCTGCCTGGTTTATAAAGCCTAAAATATTTATTGTTTGGCTCTATATAGGAAAGGTATACTGATCTAATATTGTAAAAATGGTAGTTGGAGAAATAGAAAAGAGGATGAAGAAACGTATCCTGGAATTGCCTTGAAATGGGGAGTAATCTGTTAACTGTAGGTGAAATAAGTAGGATACAGTCTAAGCAGAGATGTAAAGTTATTGTGTATGCTGCACTAGGTAAGTGAGGCCAGAACATGTGATCAATAGGTTTCAGTGGGGAAAGAGACTATGTAGGATGTGGGGGTTGGGATAAATTGAAGTTGTATTGTGGAGGGCATTGACTGTCATGTAGAGTAATTTTGACATTGCTACTTAGGTTGTAAGAGTGTTGACCAAAATTAAAGACTTTTCATGATAGGTTATTATTTAGCCTAGTTTTTATTCCAGCTATGAACAGTGATTAAAAAAGAAAATGAGAAGCGTTGATTTAAACTGGAGCTTTTATAATTCATGTTAGAGAATGGCATAGTTTGAACTTTATCTGTGCTGATGATTATTAATTGAAGTAGATTTCATTTAATGAATTCAAGATACAATTTATATGTGGGAATGATATTTGATAAGTGGATATAGATTAGGGAGATGATGTCAAAGGTTTCAGAAGACAACTCTAGGTTCAGATATCAAGATTTAAGCTCCAGTTCTATTACTTTGAGCAAGTTAATTTAATCTTCCTGTTTTTATAATTCCTAATGTGAGCTAAAAGAATGGATTTGAAGCCAGATTTGATGGCATATTCCTGTATTGCCAGGTACTTGGGAGACCGAGAGAGGACTGCAAGTTGGAGGCTAGTCTGGGCAACTTAATAAAACTCTGTCTCAAAAAAGTTAAAAAGGGCTAAGGATATAGCTCAGAGGTAGATCACTCACCTAATATGCACAGTTCCCTAGGTTGAATGCTCAGTATTATGTCCCAAAAAAAGAATGGATTTGAGAAGGTAGAATGTATTTTTTTTGTATGTCATATTTGATATGAAATTATTACTTTTGTGTAGTTATCCATAAACTGATCAGATCTTCAAAACAGCTGAGGCAAAGAACCTGTACTAATGCTAATTGGACTAGATATGAGAATTATCTGAAAGATATGACAATTCTGTCTGGTAGTTGGAATTGGGTGAAGATAATGTTGCCCAAATGAAAAGAATATTAAGGAGCAGTAGGCCAAGACTGGCACCAACCAGATGAACGTTGTTCAAGGTTAGATACAGAAAAAGTGTTAGTAAAAGAAGGAAGAAAAAGAGCTATACTATCTCCCAAGGAAGAAGAGCTTGAGAATGAAACATTTAAAGTTGATACCTAGAGAGCTTCAGAGAAAATGTATGTAAACTTGATTTAAAGTCATTTAAGTTTTTAATTGTCATGTCTTTGTTGGTCATCATGTATCTTCAATATCTAGTGCATAGTAGAAATGTAATAATTTTTACAATAATGAAATTTGTTAAATTTTAAAGGTAAAATTGTGAAGAATTCTTAAGTCTTTGAACTATTTAACAGGAAAATTGGATCCTTAAAATAAGGTATTCTGTTGTTCAGATATCTAAAATGGGCCTTATGCTTTCAGCAAGCCCAGTATGAAGAGAGTGTTAATATGTTTCTAAATATATTTAGTTATAATTGTTTTATTTTTCAGACGTTCATTTGAATTTTTAGATTTGTTGTTACAAGAATGGCAGACTCATTCTTTGGAAAGGTACATATACCTCTTTTTTCTTCCTCTTTCTCTTTTTTTTTTTTCCTCTCCCCATTGTCACTGATTTTTTAGGAGCTGATGGTATTGGTTTTGGCTTTTCTCATTTTGAGTTCAATATTACTTGTACTCGTTGTTTGTCAAAGCTATGGTATTGTGTTCGTACTACATTTGCAGCTGTGATTTGTATGATTTTCTTCTTTCTATACTGGCTGAAGGTCCATTAAATAAAATGCCTTATATAAATATTCCAAATAAAATTGTACAAAAATTTTAAAATGTATCTCTAATAATTTCATTTGGAATAAGTTTCAGAACTGCAGTTAGTCATATAGTGAATGATTTAAGACAGAAGGAACTTCCTATTAGCGGATACATTTTTTAAAAAGATATATTTTGGAAAGTTTCTGTGTACCAGTTGTCAGGAGTCATAGGTCAAGTAATGTGCTGGGCATTGTCTAATGTACTCTGAGATGAAGGAAGGAAAAATGTGCAGAAGTAGATCATCATCACTGGCTATCTGTCTTGTTATTCTGAAGTTTGAAGCGTCAGAGATAACCATTTACATTGAGTATGTTGATTTCATGTTTTCATGGTAATCATTAAATTTTTTCACAGCTCATTTTGAAAAAATAGATTTTTTTTCTTTAGACATGAAATAATTCCAAGTCTTCACTTCTTTTTGGCATTGATTGTTAGATTTATATCATATCATACTCTTAGCAAATTATTTTCTACAGTGGTAGGTTAGTAAGGAACTACACAGAAAAAATTTCTCCCTTGGAGAGCTTTATTGGCTCTCGGTAAGTAATAAAAATTGGGTCCTGGGACCCCCGCACCCCAGAGGAGGCCACAGAGAGGACCATGCACCTGGGTACCAAAGCCGGGCACTGCGCGGTTTTCTGAAGAGGCAGGATGCTGATCAAGACATGGAAAAACTACATAAAGCTAGAATCTACCTCTGCTGAAGAAGGAAAAACACGAGTGGAGGGCTGGAGCCCTGCGCACTCACTGAGACTGGTTCATGCTGTACTGAGAGTGTTGTGCAGTCAGGCGATTCAAGGTCGAGCTGAAGCCATGGCCGCCTATAACGGGAATTGTTGAGTCCCGAGCCCTTGGTGGGAGGATGCAGCACAGCATGGAGTGGAGCCAAGAGGAAAAACTGCATTGATTCTCGGTGAGTGCTGGGGATTGGGTCCCGCGGCTGCTGTCGCTGGCTGGAGGACATCTTGGAGAGCCCAGCACCACAGCAGCATCACTCGGCCTTCCCTGGCTGTGAGAGGACTGGTGGAATCTGCTGGGGCTGAGCTACGCCTCTGGTTGGGAGCCAATAGCCAGGGACAAAAAGGTCACGACTCTATGACGTCCACAAGATAAAACCTAAGTCCCTGAAGGAAATTTCAGGTCGACTGACTCAGAGGCTCGAGGCTAGCCTCTACCGTCCCTGCGTGTACCTCAGAAAACAGAAAGTTGGGGAGGGCAGCAAAACCCCAGTCAGCATGCTTCGGAAAGACCCTAAGCAATAAGGAGAGGGCCAGAGACCCCCAGGACACTCCTGTCTGAAAGAAACCAGAAACATGACAAGAAATAGAAATTTTAAAAAACCTCCAGCCCCTGACCCTGGGAAAATAAGCCCAGGGGAGGTAATTACAGAAGAGAACCAGTGCAGTAATCATGCAGTATTAGACACAGCATCATCGGACATAAAGAAATACCTTTGTGACCTCATAGATGAATTTAAAACTGTACAAGTGAAGCAAGATATAAAAAGATTAATTAAAAAAATGATAAGCCCCTCCCAAGAGAACACAAATGGAAAAATGGAGGAACTCAGAAAAGGAAGAGAAACCTGTGATGAAGAATATAAACAAAATCTAGAATACATGAAACAGATCCAAAGAGATTACCAGGAACCTAGAAACTCCATTGAAAGCTAGCAAAATGCCTTGACAGAAACTAAAGTTAGCCTTTTGAAAGTTATATAACTAAGGAAAACTTCTCATGTATAGGAAAAAGAAATGATATCTACATAAATGAGGCATACAGAACTCCAGCCACCTACAACCAAAACAGATCTACACACAGATGTACAATAATCAAGATTCCAGAAATTCACAAGAACAGAATATTAAAAGCTGCCAGAGAAAAGAAGCAGATCACCTACAAAGGACAAATCATCAAAATAAAGACAGACTTATCAACACAAACTCTCAAATCAAGTAGAGCCTGGGGGAAAATAGTCCAAGCCCTGAAAGAAAATAACTTCCAACCAAGACTGACGTACCCAGAAAAACTCTCAAAATTAATGGAGAAACAAGATACGTCCAAGACAAGAAGGAACTGTGGGAGTTCATGGCCACCAGCCCAACCCTACAAAAAATACTGGAAGGACATTCCAGAGAGAGGAAAAAATACCAGGATTCCAGCAATAGTATCAGAGAGCCTCAATGAACGGGGCAGACAGTGGAATGAAGGAGTAAGGTGGACAAATTATAGCAGAACAGAATAGCAGAGACACTAAGCTATAATCTTTAATATAGATAGCCTTGATACACTAACAAAAAAGAAACAGCCAGAGTAGATTAGGAGGCAGGATCCATTGAGATGCTCTGAATAGAAAATACACTCAACCTGAAAGAGGGTTAATAAACTGAGATAAAAAGATGAGAAAACAGTGTTATATGTGACAAGAAACCAAAGAGAAATAGGGACAACTCATTCAGCAGCCACAGATAGGTTGGAAAGTTGTGACACTTTTGTGCAGTGTAGAACTACACAGCTGGAAGGAAGGAAAACCTTTGTGGCTTTAGTATGTAAAGGAGTACAGCTCAAGATTAAGCTCAGGGGTAAAAAGGTTCACCAACACTCAGATAACAGGTTGACCCCCTAGTCTAAAAACTAAAGGAGCTAGTGGGACCCAAAATATACTAAGCATCCTGAGAAGGGGAAAGATGAGGAATTGCCTAAAAAAGGAAGGCAGGGGACATTGCTAAAAGTGTTTGAGAATTTAAAAGCCACAGTAGACTTATCGCTCTGGTTAGTTTGATTATATTTTGTTCTGGTCTGTCTACTCATGAGATTTGAGGGCATTGACAGCTAACCCAAAAATAACAGGTTATACCACGGTAACTATCCTTAATTTCCTATTAACTTAAACTGAAACCCTGTATAACTTACATAGTCTTACTATGACTGATCTTATTTGAAGCTGGTTTGTTAAACCACTATTTTGCCTTGACTGATTTTATTTGAATTTGGTATGCTTGATAGTGTCAAGTCTAGGAGTAGAGGCAACTACTCTGAAGATGACAAGATGTAAAAGATATCCATTCCGGTTTGATTATTAACTGCTTTCAACTCCTACAATATCTTTAAAGTTGTGTTTTTATAAAAATAGCTATGTAATGCTATGCTTAACTATATAATGCCTGATGATGTGGACAATTCTATTGAAAATAACAAGAGAAAGCATAGTAATTCCTGTAGCTTACCTAATATTGTGGTCTTATATGTCTTTTTCATTTCATGTTTTTCTAGGAATTTGTTTTATTGTCTTGTTTTGATCTTTTTTTTCCCTAAAATACAGAAAGGATAGATATACCTGTAGAGATTCACACATGGAAAGAATTTCTAAACAGTTTACGGGAACAGGTTATATAATACATGATGTAACGAACAGATACTCTGAAGAAGAGACACTAACAAACTTAATGCTAATTCTGTAGCATTACAATATAAAATCTAGCAATACTATTATTCATTGTTCAGAGTCACATTAGTCTAGTCTCTTATGTTCAATTCCAGCATACGTAAAGATAAAGACAGCTACTTCAAAGAGAATAAGAGACATTATGGTAGTCATTGACTTCCCCAAAATCAGGTCTTGAAGACCTAAAATGCCTTCATCATCCTGTAATGATTTGATTAGTTCTATAATGTTCAGTGCATATTCAATGTGTGTGAAGATGGGGTCAAATATTTGGAAGAAAACTTAGAGACAATACGATAGACAGTGAAGATCTCCAGTGGACTTGCTTTGAAATCTGTGTTTCTTCAAATTGTTTCCTTATGAACTGTTTTGTTCTGTTTTGACATGTTTAATCTTACCCTCTTTAATATAAAAAATAAGTGTGTAGGACTGATCAACATATTACTAAGTTTTTGTTGGATCGAGCAAAAACTTTGTAGTGTCATTATTTGAATATCACTTTGTACGCTTTAATTTTGTAACTTGACCAACTATTTCTAAGATGACAATATGTAACTTATCAACTAGTGATTTCTTACTGTTTATTTTTCTGAAATTCTATATTATTACTACCCTTTTTTCTGTTTTTTCTCTTTAAATTAAAAAAAGCCTCTCTGATTCATTAAAATATTGAAGGTCAGATTATTAGAAAATCTTACAATCATAGATTTATCATCGTAATATTTTTACCCCTTTGTGATAGTTGTGGACATAGTATCATTTGTGGTAAAATACACAAATTTATACATAAATCTAAGTATTTATTTTATAGGCATGCAGCTGTCTTGGTTGAAACTATTAAGAAGGGAATTCATGATGCTGATGCTGAGGCCAGAGTAGAGGCAAGAAAGTAAGTCTGTTATGTATTTTTGTGACAGTTAAACATCCGTTAATCAGTTTTTGAAAGATACTGTATTGAGAAAATGAAAACATCAGAGATGTCCCATGTAGTATACTTGATTAGCTCTTCAGTAAAATTAACATTAATTTTGTCCATTATGTTTGTATTAGCCATTTAACACTGTGCTTCAAATTGTCATTTGTGTAGTCATCAGTATTCTTATTCCATCATAATCTTTTTACTTTTATTTTAAACAAAAGCAGCTATCATTTATTGAATATGTATTGTGTATCTGATACGGAATGAGGCACTTGGTATACATTATTTTTTAATCCTTAAAGAAATTTTGTAAAGGTTCTTTATTTCCATAGATGGCGAAAGTCTGAAGATTTGTGGGTTTCCTCAGGCCTCATGAACTATAAGTGGTACAGCCAGGTTTTTAACTGAGATCTACTTTTTTTAAAAGTCTGCAGTCAGCTAGATGTGATAGCCACACCTGCAATCCTCACACTTGGGAGGAAGCAGCAGGAAGACTGCAAGTATGAGTCTATCTTGGCAACTTAATGAAACCTTGTCATGAAGGAAGGAAGGAAGGAAGGAAGGAAGGAAGGAAGGAAGGAAGGAAGGAAGGCAGGCAGGCAGGCAGGCAGGCAGGCGGGAAGCAAGGAAGTTGGAGCATAGTTCAGTGTGAAGGCCTCAGGTTTGATTCCCAGTATCAAAGACCTTTGTTTTTCCCACTGGAACTTGTGTAATTTAGAAAGCATAATGAATGTATTAAAAACCTGTGAGTTCATCTTCATCCTTCTTAAATATGCATATTTTACTGGTAAAGTTTCATGTAAAAAAGCTATTACTTTATGTACTTTTCTTTCTTTGTTTTTCTTTTACAGGACGTATATGGGTCTTAGAAATCACTTCCCTGGGGAAGCTGAAACATTATATAATTCCCTTGAGCCACCTTATCAGAAAAGTCTTCAAACTTATTTAAAGAGTTCTGGCAGTGTAGCATCTCTTCCACAATCAGACAGATCCTCGTCTAGCTCACAAGAAAGTCTCAAGTAAGGTCATACTAGTGATAATCTCTGATGTATTCTTCTCAAGTCCCCCAAAGTTTAAATTGGATGGTTGACTCTGCTTGATTTCACCCTAAAGCCTTCAAAAAATTGGTGATTCACATTACTTTCTTTGGTTTGTTATCTCAGGAGTTAGATTACACACTAGCTTAACTATTTCTCTTTGGATAGAGTTTAATGATTCATGTATTGTTTCTTTATGTTCATGGCTGTAGAGTCTTGGAAGCACTGCTGCTCTTTTCTTCCTGTCCTTTGTATGGCTTATCAAGAGGGCAAAATGATTTAGTATCTCACTTCTCTGTAGCTCTCCTCTCACTATGACATCATTTTCTACTTAAAATCCTTATTGTTTTGGCAATAATCCTGTTCTCTGTTGCCCCAGATCTGTGAGATTGCTAAAATTTTTCATGCCTTTTCTGCTTCCTAACAGTGCCCTCTGTGTACCTTCATAAAGTAGGGCCACTAGGGAGGAGCAACTCACAAAATGTCCATTTACCAGCCTGCAGGTTTTTTTCCTCTTTGGGACACACACACACACACACACACACACACACACACACACACACACCCCCCCCAAGATTCTTGGTTGCCTTGCAACACAATGCGAAACTGGGATTAAGGTGAGGCACCTAGGGTGCAAAGTAAATAGGGTTACACACATGGCTATGTGGATGTTAAAGTTTAGTTTCTTACAAGTTTTAAAAATAAAAGCAGATAATATCTTAGGATTTCAGAAAAATTACAATAGTAATGTTGATCTATTTAAACTTCTGTTTAAATTTCTATTTGAACTTCTACCAATAGTTGTATTTTAAATTCATAATAAATTACTCATCTCAGATGAGTCTTATATTGCTTTTTTCACTTTTGCTTTTGTTTTGTCTTTATTTACTATGTTCACACTTTAAGGATCATGTGAATCACCTGAAGATCATGTTAAAATTCAGAATCTGAATCAGTAGTTTTGGGGTAGGACCTGAATATTCACTTTTTGTAGACTCCAGGGTGATGTCAGTGCTGTTTGTCAATAGACTATACTTTGAATTGCAAAGAAGATATTCCGCTCTAGTATAACTTACTTAAACATAAACTGCTCTAAACAGTGTGAACATTGAATTAGTCTGCCTAGTCTGCCTATTAGTCTGACAATAGTTATAAAAATAATATAATGTAGGGCTTTAATAACCACTGTGAAATTTGCTATTGATAATAATGTAACTTAATATCTTTCTATAGCCCGACACTAATTAATCTCTGGGAGTTTTGCTCTTCTCTTTCCATGACATTTTAAACATATCCTTTCTGGATATTTATCTATGGGCTGCAGAGTAGTGTTGTAATTAAAAATAAATAGTTTTTATAAATTAAAGTACATAGTGGGCTCTTTGAGATGGTAAGAGATGTTTTGCTAACATTCTCTAATCATAGAATTACCCTCAGCAGTAGTTTTTAACCTTGTTTTTGCTGCCTGACACAATAACAGTAATACTGGATCTGGGGAGTGTGATAATTACATGATAACTGCATGAATTTGCTAGTGGCCACAACTATTATGACTTAGGTGAGAGAGGCTTTGGTTTTGCTGAGTTGCCTGGTAATAATACCACCTTTTTTCTTAGCAAAATATCTAAAGACATGAGTGGTTTACTGTGCTAATTTAGTTCCTCTCAGTGGAGAGGAAGGCATGTGAATGAAAACAACCCAGTCTTACCCTCGAGTTCACCATCTTTATTCATTGACAGTTATTTTATTTCTTGCTTTAAAGCTAATTGACACACCACTAGTATTTGATATATACTTGAAAGCAGCTGTTCTAAAGTGATGTTTAAAAGAGAAAATTAGAAGTTTTTCAGCTGTTCAGAAAACTGCTATTGATAAATTAAGTCTTCTAAATAAAAGCACTGTTTTCTTTACCTTGCAGTCGCCCTTTTTCTTCCAAATGGTCTACAGCAAATCCATCGGCTGTGGCTGGAAGAGGTAAGTGCCTTTTTAAGTAAAAGTTATAACTTACTTATCTCTAACTAGTAGCCTTTAAACTATATTGATATGACTGGGTGGTGTGGCACATGCCTGTAAGCCCACCAGTCAGAGGCTGAGGCAGAAAAATTGTTATCAGTTTGAGGCTAGGCTGAACCGCATAGTGAAACGCTCTCTCAAAGGAAAAAAAAAAGGTACATAGATACGGTGCACAGTGAGAAAATCATTGTCATAACCCAGTGCCAGACATTTACAATACAAATACACATATATACACTATACTTGAAGTTCCATGAAGCAGTTCTCATACATATGATGCACTCTTTATTTCATGTTCTGTCTCATTCCTTGAACATATTGGTCATGAACTACTCCACTACTTACATTATTAATGGATCATGACTCAGTTTGTAAAACACCTTTTTTTTTTGTCTTTTTCGTTTTTATCGGTACCAGGGATCGAACTCACGACCGCACACTTGCAAGGAAGACGCTTATGCCACTGAGCTAAATCCCCAGCCCCTGTAAAACACCTTTTTAAAACTGAAAAAATAGATTTCAGAAATTTAATGACTTAATGTACTTTGCCTAAGAGTGGCAGAACCTCCATTAATTTCTTTAGTAGTCCTACACCAAGACTAGTTAATTGTGCCTTTTCCAGACAGTAAAGAGAAAACGCTGCTGCCATGTATTTTTCATAGAGTGCTTCATTTCCATAAATCACTCAGGAACATCACTTCCTCTGCCAAACGATTTTATGAATTTTACAGTCAAAATGAGTAATTTCTTCCAGTGGGAGAGGAAAATAAAACAGAGATACTCAAAATTGCAGATAGTGCTGGGCATGGTGGTGCATGCCTGTAATCCCAGCACCCAGGAGGTTAAGGGAAGAAGGATCCCTGTGAGTCTGAGGCCAGCCTGAACTACATAGCATGACTCTCTCAAAATGAAAAAAAGAGCGAGAAAAAAAGAGGAAGAGAGTAAGGGAAGGAAGAGAATGAGAAAACAAATTGTCCTCAAAATTTAGCTGTGTGGGGATTGAAACTAAGGCATTCTGACTTAAAAGTAACTTGTTACTGTCCTCTTGAACCTTGCTTCCTTGTTAATAATATGTTACCATGGATTATTCACTCTTGATGGTATCTTGCTTATGTAACTTTGATGCTGTTTGCAGTGACTACATCCTACAGGATGTTTTTGTCTCATCTTTCCATAGTATCGGCAGGCAGCTGCAAAGCCAGTTCGCTTCCAGGAAGCCTGCAGCGCTCGCGAAGTGACATTGATGTGAATGCTGCTGCTGGTGCCAAGGCACATCACGTTGCTGGACAGTCTGCGCGAAGTGGGCGCCTAGGTGCGGGGGCCCTGAATCCAGGTTCCTATGCATCACTTGGTAAGAAAGCAAACTCTGGGGCAACCCACTCAGGACCCTGTCTGTCTGTCTCTCAGACAAAAGCTTTCTTTCTCTCAATAAATATATTCTATTCTTAAAAAAAAAAAAAAAGAAAGCTAATTCTGGGAAAATTGTAATGTTCTTTCCTTGGTCTCAGTGAAGATAATGTAATATGCCTTAAATCATTTCTACTTCATGCTTGCTAATTAAGAATAATTTCATGTGTTAAAATACGATTCTGTCTTGGGTTCTGAGCTATATAAACTTCCTTATTTCTACTTTCTCCTCGGTCCTCTTCCTCACTAACTTGATCAGTGAAACAGTTTTTCACTCCTTGATTGCCCATAGAACTTCTGTTACTCTGCACTTTTGCCACATCATCCACTGGTCACTAAGGGAGTTTGGGAAGGGTATTGGCCTTTCTATTTTCTTTCTACTAATTGTTTCCTTAATAAGAATTTAAAACTATTGGGGCTCTAGGAGAACTCTAAAGTGCTTTTGTGTGTAATCAGAGTTGAACTATATACTAAAAACTATTTAGAGCTTGGTTTTTTATGTTTTATTGTCATTGATGTGAAAGTTTGAGCTTGGTTAACCATAGTGCTTATCTCTGTTTCATGCTTCACTCTCACCTCCTTCTTTGGTAGTCCTGGTAGAATACTAAGCAGGCAGGTCATTGGAACACAATTGCAGTTTAGTAATACCCTTGCAGCATTTAGAAGTGTTCAGAATTTTTGATTTAATAATCCATTGTTTAGGTAAGTACATCAAGAGATAAAAACAGTAGCAATATAAAGATGTTATTAGAGCCAACCTTTATATGTTCCAAAATGGAAATGATTGAATTAATTCTTATACTTAGAATTGAGTATATCCTTATACTATGCAGACATTAAAAAGTCATTTTTTCAGCCAGGCATGATGGTACACACCTGTAACCTGTAAACTAAGGCAGAAGGATTGCCTCAAACTTGAGGCTAGCCTGACCTACATAGTGAGGCCCAGTCTAAAAAAAAAAGTCATGTTTCAACAAAGGTAGAATGATACAGATTAACAAACCATGTGTGGTTAAGTTCATCATTTTGTGTAATATACATAAAGGACAGGGGTATATACAAAGATGTTGACAGTGGGTTGATTAGCACTTTTGATTTTCATAAAACATTTTTTATTCAGAAACATCACATTACCAGGAATGCTATGTTATTTTAATATTTGAAAATCAGTCGACCAAGTGGTCCATATTAATAAATTAAAGGAAAAATACCTGACCATCCTAGTAGCAGCAGAAAAAGCATTTCTCGGAACCTAAGACCCTTTTGTCATAAAAATAACCAACTAAGAACAGAAAGGAACTTTCTCAGTCTAAGGAAGAGTAAAAAATTTACAGCTCACATCACACTTGACACTGAAAAAAGTACATCAAGAACAAGATAAAGATGTTCATTTTCACTTTAAAAAAATTTTTTTACTTTCACCTTTTTTATTCAACATTATCATGAAAGTTTTTGCAATTGCAGTTAGGCAAAAAAAAAGGAATAGAAGATTGGCATATTGGAAAAGAAGAAATATAATTAGCTCAGTGCAAAAAATCTTGTGCAAAAAAATTAAAATTCTGTATTTTCTAAAATTTACAGAATTTATCGTCTAAAATCCTAAGGAATCCACCAAAATAAAATTAGAGTTAATTAACTAACTCCATAAAGTTGTCAAATACAAGATCAGTTCAAGATTTTCTAAACATTCAGTGAAGAATACAAAATGAAGCAGATAAAGCATTTATACCACTATATTTAGGAATAAAACAAAAGATATTTAAGATATTTGCACTAAAAGCTGTATCTTTTAACACTGTTAAAAAAATTAAAGAAGACCTAAGTAATTGAAATGACATTTTAGGCTTATAGATTTAAAAAGTTAATACTATAAAGATGGCAAATTGATATACACAATCAGTACAGTCCATATCCAGCTCCTTTTTTATAGACATTAACAAGCAGATCCTAACATTCATTTAGAAAGGGGTCTAGAATAACTGAAATAATCTTTGAAACAACAACAAAACTGGAACACACAAGCTTTCAAATTTCAAAAGTTACTTCAGAGCTATAGTAATGAAGTCTGTAAGGTGCTGGTAGAGACCAGTGGAATAAAGAGTGTAGAAAAAACCCAAACATTCATGGTGAGTTGATTTTCAGTAAAAGTGCCAAGATCATTCAGTAGTGAAAAATTTGTCTTTTCAGCAAATGGTAATGGAACAGTAGGATGCAGAAGAATTAAGTTGGACTTCTGCCTCACACACTCAATATGGATTAAAGACCTAAATATAAGAATTAATACTGTAACACTCAAAAAGAAATAAGGATATAAATGTTTGTAACCTTGGCTGGCAGTGGTTTGTTTGATCTGATACCAAAGAAACAAGCAACCCCCAAAAGAGATAGCACAGCTCTTCCATCCACCACAGCTTGTGACATTCTGCATGGTGTGCCCAGGTTACTGCCTCCTTGACTCCAGGATTGAATCCTCTACGTGTCTCACCAGTGCTTCCAGTGCTCCACAGGTCGTTATGGCCCAAACTTTTGGGAGAGAGTGTTTACCATCTGCTCGCAACACAAAGGCAGCTGCTTTCTTGTTGCAGCCTTGTGTTTTGCAATGCCTCAATGCTTTGGGTCTAGTCAGCTGGGCCCTGGCTGTCTGGTACTCCTGCAACACTTGTAGCCCCTCCCTGCGGCTCATGGTGCCCCCAGCTGCTCTCTGTTCAGTTGACAGTTTCCTCAGCATACAGCCTGCAAATCTTCAGGAGGAAGGGGCCACCCCAGTGAATCAGCATCAGATGTGAGCAGTTTATCTGCCCATACTTTCAATATAAATGTTTATATCCTGGATTTCTGTTTGTTACCTTTTCATGGACTCTTTAATTGTTTACTAAGGTGATCATTTGAGTTTTGTATTGTTTTAGCTCAGCTATCTTTTTGTCAGTGTATTCTGTAAGCTCCCCAATTGTTTTCTTATTAAGGTCTTTACCTGTTTAGTTGTGTCATCTTTGAGCTCACCGAGTAACTTACTGATCTGGTTTTTTGGCTCCTCTTTTATCATATGTAAAATTCAGCTGTTTGGGTTTTGATTTATTCCCCATGAATGTCCCATGAATTACCTTTAGGGAAGTTCAGAAATTTTGGAGGCAGTTTTTGCCTTGTTTTCTTATATTTCTTTTTTTTAATGCTGAGAGTTGTGAGTTGATTATAGTTGCAAGAATTTGTTACTAGTATGGAATGTTTGTCTTTCAGTGATGTACTCTAGGCCTAACTAACTATTGACCTTTTCTTCTGTTCTAAGATCTGAGCACCTTTGTTAATTTAGGGAAAGGAGGATACAGGATAATTGGCTCAGCACCCAGTTCTCCAGAAATGAACACCAGTATTGTTGATGACACATAAACAAGAAATTGTCATATAAGAAAAATCAATTAATATCAATTGCAATATCAGTAAAAAGAACCACAATAATAGAATCAAAGACAAACTATTTACAGTGTAAAAACTGATATTAGCTACCACTGTACTGATTTTGGCAATAGAAAAGAGATCTGTAATTATAATATAGATACAAAGATAAGCCAACTATTGACATATCGTATGCACTAACTATAACACTTTGAGCGATAGAAAAGAATTTAACAGTAATAGCATAGAATAAACCAAAGTCTAAGGATTTAGTTTAAAAGTAATACTAGCAAAGATGGAGAATGGGAAAACAGAAAATGTAAAATTTGAAAAATAAGGGAAAATGAGAAGAGAAAAATGATATAAAAAATCTTGGTAAGGAGTAAAAAAAAATGATTAGAATTAGGTAAAAGTAGCAGAAAAGAGCAAATAAGAAAAAGAAGAAAAGAAGCGAGACAGAACAAAATAATAAGTAGAAATTTAAGAAGAAAAAAAGGAAAAAGAAACTCCAGCCTCCAAAAACCAGTGAAGAAAAAGAAAAATGGATTAAAAAAAAAAAAAGTTTTCAGAAAAGAAAAAAAAGCCTTAAACTGAAAGCGTTTTAGAGGATAGTTACTGTATAGGAGCTTAGCACTGAGGAGAGATCTGTCAGTGTTGAACTGTGTGTTGCTTAAAGCAGCTGCTTCTGATTTCTTCTCATTTCCCCTAAAGTACTGCATCCTTTGGCTGCAGAGTTATCCATGAGTGTTTTTAAATTCAGCCTTGAACTTTCTAAAGAGGAAGTACAGTGTGATATGAGCTAGTCAGCAATTTACGTCAAGGAAACCTTGATGCCTATATGTATGTGTAGTTTTGAATCTCAACAACAGGGTTTATGAAGTTAATTGAATGGAAAAGAAAATGGATAGTTTTGTTGGAATCATGGATAGAAATCAAAGTTCAGTTCATTGAAGTTGGGAAGAAAATCTACATAAAATTTTTTGTTGCATGGTCAAGAAAATGAAGAACACTTAGGAAATATCATAGGTCAAATTCAGGAACTTTCTAAACAATTGATGGAGCCGACTGTTTCAATACTTAAGTGTTAAGTGAGTAGAGAAATAAAGAAGGAGAAGAGAAGATAGTGTCCAGGTAACATTCCAGTTGAAGGGATGAGGAATGGGATGTACAGAGCAGAACTAGAGAGGTGATCTTACATGTGGAAGGACCACCTACTTCACTAATGTAGAAGGAAAGGAAATGAAAGAGGTGGTAGATTCAAGTAAGATTTTTGTGGAGGGTGAGTGTTAAGAATGTAGTAAAGGTTATGATTCTCTGTGTGAGAATTCAGAGCCAGCATTACGTGCCAAGAGGTGACCTGAAGTTGAGAAAACTCATCAGGGAAGCATAAGAGGAGAAAAACTCTTGGGCTTCCCACAATTACACATACATTTGAGAGCTATTAAAAAGACTTACAGGAATTAGACACGGCTGTATTCATGGCTTGAGTTTATTAGCACAGAAGGACGCACATCAAAACCCACAAAGAAAAAGGACTTAACAGGTAATCTGGAGGAACCTACGTGTCAAAGTTCCCTCTTGCAGTGGTGAAGTTAGGTGAATGCTCCTCCCTCTAACTGTAAAATGCAGCAACGTGTACCGTGTTTCTTCCCAAAAAGTTAGCTGAAGAGTCAGAGCTGGAGAAGAAGTGGGAGATAGTCACATAAGCTCTCTGCTTGCACAATCAACCAGATTTTACCAAAATTTCAAACTCCCAGAAGGAAAACAAGTGTTCACTATAAATCATGTTTTTCGCCTGCATATTCCTACAACTTCTCAGAGTCCTTTGGGCAGTGACTGAGGAGATAAACCATGCAGGAAACAATGTTTAGTAAAAAAAAAAAAGAAAAAAGAAAAAAGAAAAAAAAATCATGTTTTTTGCAAAACAGCTTAGGCAAATTGGTGTAGCAGAGACCAGTGTCCCTTCCCTCACTTAAAATAACCTTATTGTTTAAAAAAAAAAAAAAAAAAAACATTAAAAACTAAGTTACCAGAGACTACCTCACAGAAAGGACCTTCTTAAGAGTAGTATCAGCTCAGCGGCACAAGCATCTGCCTGGCAAGTGTGAGGTCATGAGGTTGATCCCTGGTACGTTTATATCAATCCTGCTATGTTAACTCTTAAAGATCTGCACAGACGCTTAAAAAGGCCAAGTCTGTAATAGTGCCCATATCCATGACTGCATGGTTGTGTAATTTTCTGTCAAGCAGTGGAATTAATAAAAGTAGTTGTTAATATTCAGATATTAACCAGGCATGGTGACACATGCCTGTAATCCCACCATGTGGGAGGCTGAAGCAGGAGGATTGCCATATGTTTGAGGCCAGCCTGGACTACAAAATGAATTCAGGGCCAACCTGAATTACAGAACTGGACTGTCTCAAAAACAAAAAGAAAAGATTTATCCAGACATGAGATGATAGAGGCTAAAAGTTCTAAGGAAAGATGGAGGTAAGCAAGCAACAAGGTAATAAACAGTATGTCCAGACAATTAATTTTGTCTTAAAAACATCTTTTTAAGGATTATAAAATCACTTTTTCTAATATGCTAAGTTTTCCTCTGTTTTTGCTTGCTCTTTCATCAAAGAGGATACTACTGACAAGATGGATGGTAAGAACTTCCTTTTATAATTTACTACATAGTTTTATGGCTCTTGGACTCTGTATTATATCCTTTTTCATTACTGTCTTACATTCTGAAAATATACTATAAATAGTGTATTTACCAAGAATCTTACTTTGAAAATGGCTGCATAATTCTCTAATTGAATTTTGGATTAAGTATTTTCATTTTTTTAATTGCTGAGTCTACTCAAGTAGTAGGTAACCATTTGCTTTTATTTAACACAATTATCTTAAAAATTTTACTTGCACTCTTAGAAATATGCCTTTGAATATTTGCAATTCTTATCCTCTATAATATTGGATCTGGAAGAATGAAAAGTAATCTCAGAAATCGTTTGATTCAGCACTTTAGCTTATTGAGTGTTACAGAAATATGACATTTCACAGGTTCAGATGTTTTATTTATAAAAATGAAATACAAGTTATAGATGCTGTCTTGTTAATGGTGAATTTCAGATTGACATTTAATCTTTAAGCTTTGTCATTTCTGGGGTTGAAGCTCATTGGTAGAGCAGTTCAGTACTCAGTACCAGAAAATAACAAATGTGTCTTTTTTATTTCAGTGTTCAAACAATTAACAATCTACCTGTAGTTACTTGGTTCAGTAACAAACCTGTAAATTTTTAAATCTGATCTCAGTGTATTGTTTGTATCTTACCCTTAAAAATAACTTACAATAAAATTGTACTGAAATCTTGTGCTGGGAATTTAGTTCAGCGGCATAAGCACCTGCCTGCCCAGTGTGAGATTGTGAGTTCAACCCCGGGCACCAAAAAACAAAAAAACAAACAAAAATACTGAAATCTTTAAGTCACTTTATAGATCTAGGAAAATTTGAGACATTGTTATGTTTTTCTATCAATTATTACATCAAATCTAAAGTTGAACTAATACGTGTTTTCTATTGTAATGAAATGGAAAGTTTAATCTTAAATTGGTACAGGAGTATTAATTAAATTAACTTCCCCTTTTTTGTATGATTAAAGTATTTCATTAATAAAAAACCATCATATGCCAGCCATCCAGAAATGGTTTCTTAGTTAGGACTGGTGACCCGTGCCTATAATCCTAGCACTCAGGAGGCTAAGGCAGGAGAATCACCAAGTTCCAGGCCATCCTGAACTACATAGTGAATTCAAGGTCAGCCAAAACTCTATATAGTGAGGCCCTGTCTCAAAAAACAAAAACCAACCAAAAAAGACCTAGGGATGTAGCTCAGTGCAAACAGCCTGGGTTCAATCCCAGTACTACCAAAGTGGGGAGGGGAGGACTTTCTTTCTATCAAAACCTTAGGTATTGCTTCTAACATTGATATTTCTGGAGCCTTGAGAAAATTTGTATTGTTTCCAATTAACATATTTTCTTGTTTAGATGAGAAGTAACCTATTTGAAGAGTCACATCTTTTTTCATGATGTGTATTTCCACTGATACTCAATTGTTAAAAAGTACACATAGAGACATGTACATTTTATTCCTAATGAGCAATGAGTTGTGATGTTTGTTCTCCGACTTTTTCAGTAGATTTCACTGACATCTCAGGGAATAATCATGAATGTTGAAGAAATAACTGATACCTTGGATTGATAGACCTTTGGCTTTGTATATACTTTGAAAAGTCTGCGTAATTGAAGCTTACATTCTTAATACTTCTTTTATGAGCTACCTTTGAAAATACACTGAAAATATTCCTACTCTAGAAAAGTCTGTAAAAGTCTTCATTTACAAATAAAACTATTGCAGAGTTACATCTTTCTTTCTTGAGTAGATAATTTTACTATTTCAAAATTTTGGCATTTTCTGTGCTTTAATTTCAACTCTTTACATGTCCCAAGTCAGGTATCCCAAATTTTTTCTCAGATTGAACCTTTTCAGCATTAATTTACTTCCTCTCAGGTTAAAAGTGTCACCCTGCCATCTGTTTGTGTTGGTCTTGGGAAGATGTTACAGTGTGGGCAGAATTTGTTGAAATGTTGTTTTATTTCTCTTATTTAGGAACAGCCTCTGAAGATGGTAAGAATTATGCATTTTGTTAGTAATACAAACACCTCTATATTATTATTTTCACTGGTAGAAATTAAAACTAAAACGGGCTAATTTATTTGCAAATCTTTATAATTTGCCCGTAGTGGTAACTTCTGCGTTCTATATTTGGTTGTGTTTGTTCTGTGTATCAGTTTTTTTCCCTACTTTTTCATCTTGCAGTTTCATTTCGTGTCTTGAATCATTTCATGCTGAAAAACGTATCTTGTTAACATGCTTGATAATATTTAATGTAAAGTTAGGACATAATTTCATTTTTCAGCAGTGTTATTAAAACTTCTTTTGATTTTGCATGGTTTTTTTTTTAATGTATACAAATTCATTTCTGCTTTTCAGGAGCATGTGCCATTGGTTTTTCATTTGAGTTTAAATACTTTTATTCAGTCCACTTTGAAGTGAATCTTTTATTTTTGTATCAGTTGTTAGGACATTGGTTACTCACTGAAACTGAACTTGAGATTACAGCTAAGTTGCTCATTATATTTTACTAGGTTCACCTTAAAAGTAATTGCTTGTTCCATTTAAATTTGTGCAATGGAAAATAATTCAATTTTTATATTTGTTTTGTCTGAAGGCTATTTAAGCCTTTGGCTTAAAATACTGTTTTTTTCTCTAACTTTTACATAGATGACATTTTCTTGTGTATAGAACCAAATAGGTTTAAATTGTTTTTGTCTCATAAGTACTTTGATATGTTTAAAATAGTTCTTGTTTTAAGTTTTAAATTGGAGTACTTTATAAAAACATGACCTCGGACATTGTGGTCACTAATGGCAGCTTATTTAAGCACTTTGTAATTTAAAACATTACTATCAAAATAGTTATATCTTAATTTCCTAAACAGAATGTGGATAAATTCTCCATTGCATAAATAATAATTTGATTTTTTTTTTTGTTTTACTTCTTAGTCATGAAGATACCCTACTCAAAATAAACTGTGTAAAAATGTGAAAGACCTGGAATATAGACTTGTTAGGGGCCTTCAAATTGGTAGAACACTAGAATTGCACCAATTACATTTCTGACTTTCCCTCTTTTAGTTCTGGTTTTTGTTGCTTTCTTATTTTGACTCATTCTTAAGTTTTTAACTTATTCCTAGTCTATAGTATATTAGTATGACTATATCAAGATAGCTAGAATTTTATGAATTCCTTACAAATTGTGCCTTTTAATTAAAAAAGATTCTGAGCCTTTCTTTTGAATATGTTTGGTATTGATCTGATTTGATTGGGACCATAGCTTGAGAACACCTAAGTACCTGCTAGTAATGTATTTCATCATCAATTGCTTTTATTAGTGGCCATTTACATACTTTGATAAAAAATATATTAAGGAAAGCACTAATTTTTATCTTATATGTATTTTCTCAAGTCATTTTGTAGATGAAACTGGTTAGAAGAAGAAAGTAGTAAATATATCCATATATACTTAGAATAATCTGATATAAGAAAGATTGAATATTTTGCCAGTAGGATCTCATCCTACAAATGCCTTTAGAAATAATTTTTCAGCCCAAAGGACTGTTTGGATTATTGTTTTTATGTTTAAGTTCATATGTAAAACTATAGGGTCTATTTGAGAATAATCTAAAATTTTCTGTAAACTGAAATTTTAGAATTACAACTACCAATTAAGCAACAAGGGACATACCTATATCTTAATTATGACTACTGGACTAATTAATATCAAACTAAGTATGAAAATCTTCTAGTTTGACTTTATTCTTACCCTCGAAGAAAAATTGGTTTACGGTACAACATACAAAAGACAGTATGAAGCTGGGTATGATGCTGTGTACCTGTTATACCAGTTACTTATTTGAGAGGCTGAGGCAGGAGGATTATTTTAGCCTTTGAGAGTGGGCCAGTGTAAGCAACCTAGCTAGATCTTGTCCAAAAGCAAAAAAAGCCCAGTTTTTATTTTTAAAATGTTAAGGAAAAATAGAACCTATAGGTCATAATTATATTAACTACATAATTTAGTGGTTGTTGGCAATAGTAAATTTTTCTCGCTTAAAATACTCTTACTTTTTAAAATGTTTACTTCTGTACATATTTTATTCCTCAGGCCGAATGAGAGCAAAGCTTTCAGCACCACTTCCTGGTATAGGAAATGGCAAGACAGATTCTAGAGGAAGAAGTCGAACAAAAATGGTGTCTCAGTCACAGCGTATGTACTGCTTATTAACCCCACTGTATTTGTTAATATGTTAGAATAAATATGTTGCTTGCATATTATTGTAGTAGGAGATGACCAGTGGGCAAATTTCAAAAAAGATGAGAGACATACTGAGTTCTTGTTCTGTACTTTAGGTTCATCATCACCTGACAAAAATGAAGGTATTTTTTTTTCAATGTTTTGGGTCAGTTGTTGTGCATGTTTTGAAATTTTTTGAGTGAGTGTTGTCTTGTCTTTGTGTTATTAGGGCTCCATCACTGATATCTACCACTTAGAAAGAAAAACTTCATCTGTTATACAGATTTTGCATGGAGATATTTTAAATAGCAGATATATCCTTAGCATTAAGATTTTCACATTTGACTAGGAAACTTGCAAATGTGGACAATTAATGTATTTTGCTTTTAAAAGCAAAATAATTGCCATCAGAATCTGTTTACATCTAACTAATGCTTTTCAAAGACAGATAGTATTTTTTTACCCCCCAAATCTATTCTTAGAATATTTATTTTTGGTTAACATTTTTGGAAGATACATACTGATTTATAGTGATTTAAAAAGTAAGCTGAGATGACCAATGCTCTGTATCCCTTGATACATTTAAAAGATTTATGCTTTTGCTAATTTGTTGGAAACTGAGTTCTTTGTCAAGAAAAGAAAGGAAAAAAAGCACCATTTGGGGATGTTAGGTAAAATGAATGTTCTATTTCTGTATATTCCAGAATAACAACATACACATTTATAACATTAAAAAGCAATTTGATCCCATTCCTTCTTTACCAAAAGATTTTTCAATAGCATTTATCTATAATATCAAGAATTTTTCTAAGGAAGTAATTTTGAAGGTTATTCTATATACTTGACTATTTTGGAATTGAAATTTACTTAACTGTCTTCCACTGATAATTTAAATTTTTTATTGGGATGTAGATGTTTTATTTGTGTTTTTAAGCCTGATTCCTGGAGTTTGGAGTCAGGAAAAAGCAGAGCTTGGAGAGAGTAGAGTGATAGCTATACAACTCCTGCCTAAGAGAGTCTCCTCTTTCCAGAGTTTGAATAGCTAAGCAAAATAACAAAGAAATGCCCGTCAAAAATCTTAAATATACAGAGAAATACTCAGTAAACTGATTTTCAAATTGAGGGTTATTTACAGAGTAACAAAGTCCTATAAACAAGGAATTTTCTCAGCCAAATGAAATTTCACATTCTTCCTTGATTCTATTTATATTTCTGGGATGGTTTACATATGATGCGTTAGTCTTTACAGTGCAGAATATTAGTTTCTTCTCTGTGTGTGCCTTCTCCATATGTGCACTCCAGACCAGTACCAAGAGATCACCTGTGAACTAATTAGGAACATCACCATATACTCCATAGATCTGTTGAATCCAGTAGGTAACAAGGTCACCAAGTGATTTGTGTCATAGTGACATTAAAGAGGTACTGATGTAGATCATGGACGTTGGGGCTAGGGATGTAACTCAGTTGTAGCTCACTTGCTTAGCATGTATACTGCCCTGGGTCCAGTTCAATTCTAGCACCACCAGGAATAAATCAATCAATCACATCCATATTGCCCAGGTTGGAGTCCTGGCTTCTTTAAATTAAAGTTACTTTATTTCTGTATGCTTACTTGTAAAATGAAGAACATAGTAGCATCTGCCTTGTAAGATTATTAAGAAGATTAAATGATATAATATATTTAATACAGTTAAAACAGTATCTGACTAAAAGTAAATACTCTATGTTAACGAATAATATTGTCCTCATTATTAATCAGATATCTACTGAACATTATACTGGTTTTATTTTTCCTACTGCCTTCAGTAAACAGAAGTAAGTAATGGTGAAGTTAGGGAATTTAAAGCACAAAATAAAAATAAAGAGAATAGCCAGAAACTGTCTGTGTCCAGGATTTAGGAATAAAACTTAATTGTGTGACACTAGTTGCCTTCTAAAGTAATACTAAGGCCAACCTCTTGGCAAAGGTTCATTATTTTGTTCTGTTTTGCTTTTATTTTTGTTTTTACTGTGCGTGGAACGCAGGGCTTGGCCCATGCTCAAGAAATGCTCTATATCTGAACTGTGCTCCCATCCCTTTGGCAAAGCACTCATTGGTTTTTCATGTTACTTGAGGGACCTCCTTTTGGGAACATTGTAACTTCAGAGTGCTTCACTGGAATATATAATAATTATTGTTTGTACTTGGTTCTCACCTTGAAAGCCATCCCACAATACTCCAAATCCTCTCCTAAAGTGTGAGAACGTAATGATTGATTTTTGAGCCTGGGTAGGACTTTTAAGATCAGAAAAGTGTCTCACTATAAAATCACTTAGTTTGAAGTTGTATTGGAGAGTTTTGTTTGTCTGCTTGCTAATTTGAGTGACTATATGTTGCATTCCAAATTCCTTTGTTAGAAGAAAGATATGTAATTTGTATGCAAGTTTCTTTACAACGTGTTTGCACAGAAATATTACAGTAAACTCCATCTTCACTTCATCATAAAGTAATTCATTAGGGTTTGCATGGTCTTTCTATGTGTTTTTGTATCATCACTTAGAAAAAAAAATATGTTGGATCAAAGCAGGTGTGTGCAATGGCTAACCAAATAAAGGAAAGCATACCCAGTGGAGAGACATCTAGGTTTATATTAATGAAAGAATTGTGTTCCTTTTTGTAAGTAGTTACTGATCGTGTACAGATGCTATAGCCTGTCAGAAACTTTGTTTCCCTTCCTGTCACTTGACTTTTTTTCCTGTGAGTCTTAAGTTGAAATATGTAGCTTTTTTCATCTAGTTGTTCTTCAGTTATAGGATGTTACAGTCGTTCCTTAATCTACTTTTGAATTAAATGTTTAAATAGTAAGAATCTAAACATTTAACTATTTAAAAGTTTTGGATTACTGATAATAGAAAAGCTGAAAATTTTACATTTACTTTTGCAGCTTCATTTTCATCTGCTTTGTACATGAGTGTTTGCTTTCTGTTTATTAGCTGTGAAAATTACTAAATGTACTGCTTTTGTTACAGACATCTGTGCTTTGGAATTTTTTAAGGTTTGCTTTTTTTTTTTTTTTTTTTTTTTTTTTTTTTTGCATTAGGGATTTTTTTTCCCTGTTAAAAGTGACTAAAACTTTACTTTCACCTGCCATCCATTTTTAAACTGCTCTTTCCCTTTTCATGGATTATAATCCTTACCCTAATTCTGCCTTTACACTTGTTCAGGATCACAATCTGCTAATACCATTGGTGGTAAGAATCTATAGCCTTTATGTGTGCATCTATTGTTTGATCACATATTATCATTACCAAAAATGGGTTCTATTCAGCAGAAACTTAATAGTAGTCCATCTTTCTATAATCATATTGAGACAAAAATTGCCAATTATGATTTTTCTTTGTATTACCAAAACCCTGCATTTAAAAAATTATCCAAGTTAAATCTACAGATGCAAGCATACATAATAATAAAAGGACCTTTGGTAATGCTTTGAAATAGACATCACAAGAGAAAAGAGGTGTCCAGTTTTCAAGTTCTGCTATTCTTTGTGTGCATCATAAATTTTTTCATCAACTCTGATTTTCCTAAAGTAAGTAATTAGCCTTGATTGCTCTTTACTAGGGCAAACAGCTTTGCTATTTTCTTCTAAGTTTAAATAATTCCAGTGAGTCATAGGCACTGGAATTATCAGTCTTGGTGAGGATCACAGGGTATTGGAAAAGAGAGGATAGTGATCGAAGTGACATTTACACTGCTAGTATTATTTCCTGGAAGATAGTATGAATGAATTTAAATCTATAGAGTGAGCATGCTTAAATTTCATACTCAGTAAATCAAGAGCAAACTGAGTAGCTACTCTGCTTCTAAACTGCACATTTCCTTCCTACCTGCTGAATAGACCCACATTTCAAGGAATCCTCCAGTTGTCTCCTACCAACACCTTCACATCCCCAAATATATATTGGTTTAACAGAGTACCATAACTTTATGTGCTCAGTTCATTATTTATACTTTTTATATTGTTGCAAGTTTTCCCATAAAATAATCCATTGGCCTTTCTTGCATTGTGAGTTTGTGGCATGTTGGGTATTTGGATGTTTCAGTGTGTACGTTTAGCTTAGATACTGCATGGAGAAAACAGATACCTTATAACTATCCTTAAGAATATAACTGAAGAAACCAGATTTGAAGATTCTTCGCCTGAAATGTGTAGCTTTCAAATGAACAATCATTTTAAAGAAGAGCTTCTACTCAAATAGTAAAAGTGTTAGTTTCACTGGAAATGCTGCTTTGTTTTACAATATTGCTGTTTCAAGTGGGTGATAAGTTTCATTTCGTGTCCTGGTAAAGGTTAAGAATGAAGCAGAAATCTAAATTGTACTTGGTAGGAAGATGCCAAGAAAACTTAAGTGTCACAGTTCAGCAGCCCGTGGACTACATCCAGCCTGCTTCATTAATGCGTTGCTTGTTTGACCTGTACATGATAAAAATCAGGAAATGTCAAAGCTTTTGTTTTTAAAAAATTCCAAGACTGAGCAGTATTACCTTGGGGCAAAGCTGACCAGAACTGAAATTCACTTCCCCTTAGCAAAGGGCAGATAGTTTCCTTTAGATCATGGTCCTGTTACCACTCCCTGAGCTATACTCACTACACCTTTTGTGGGGGAGTGGGGCAGGTTTGTTTGTTTTTCTTTTTAATATCCCATGTTTGGCATTTGAGTCTTTAATCCAATGTGGAAATAAATCATGATTGGGTAAAATTATACAGCCTGAACAGTGATTCTTCTGCTAGATAGAAGGTACCCAATAAAAGTAAAAGGTGGTTTCATGAAAATATATGAAGTTCAATTTTTTTGTAATGTGGCCATTCAGAATCTTAGAGTTAAATTATCCATTGGCGTTATCTAGTCCATTTTACTGTTCAGAACAGAGTGCTCTGACTAACAAGGAAACTTAACCCCTTAAAAGTTACCTCCTGCATTTCTAGTTTAAAACTGTGTTATTGGTGTTTTAAAAAAAAAACAAACCCACTTTCCTGATTTCTGTGATTTTTGTTGAGTATTTCCTATCTGCCTAATCAGCTCTCTGACTTCTTTCACCATCACTTAGTACTATTCCACAATCAGGATTTAGCCTTAAAATGTGGCCACCCACGAGCACTTTGCTATTTGAAGACAAATAGGGAAAACAAGTTCCTTTTTCAGTTAACATTGTTTTCTTAAAATACTCATTTAGAATTATTTCAGCAGTCAAACTATTTTAAGACAAAGCAAATTATCATTATTATATACTTAATAAAAATAACAGCAGTAATAGAATGAAAGAGTTCTCTCCACATCTTTATAATATTTTTCAAAGAGGTTTGTTGTTTTGTTTGTTTGGCTTAGTATTTGGGATCCAAGGACCTCATATATGTTAGGCAAGTGCTCTACCACTGAACGGTATCATTAGCCCTCATTTTTCAATATATGAAATGTATTGTCAAGTATGTTATTGCTTTGGAAACATTTTACTTATTTGTGTTTTAAAAATCAGAATATTAGTGTCATTATTGAACATAGTATCATATATTTCCCAAACTGAAAATACACTTTAGATAATTTACCATTCATTACTATAATATGATACACCCACACCGCCCAGCCTGTTACAATTGTATAGAAATTTTCCTCAGTCCATTTTCTTAAACCTAGAGCAGCTATATTTAATCATTTTTCTCAAATGTATTTCTTGACTTTTTATCCTTTGAATAAATTCTTTTGGGGTTCCTGCCTTAATATTTGTATGTGTTTAATGTTTAGCTGGCAGCCGGTCTGGGTCTCCAGGAAGAGTTCTGACCACAACAGCCCTTTCTACAGTGAGCTCCGGGGTGCAGAGAGTCCTGGTCAACTCAGCCTCAATACAGAAAAGGAGTAAGATACCACGGAGCCAAGGCTGTAGCAGAGAAGCTAGTCCCTCTAGGCTTTCAGTAGGTAAGATTTTATATGTGAGAATTGTAACCTTTTCAGGCTTTGGGAATACTGATGACTTTAGAATATAATTAGGCACTTATAAGTTAAACAATGGCTGGGGATTTAACTCAGCAGCTCAAGTGCTTGCCTGGTAAGTGTGAAGTCGTGAGTTCAATCCCCAGTAACCCCCCCACCCCACCCCCCACCCCCCGCGCCAAAAAAGATACAGGAAAAAAAAATTTAAAGAATTTAAGTATAGGTTATTGAGTAAAATCTCCATCATGTAACTTACAGCTTTTAAAAATAATAGCTAATATTTTAAAGCACAAGGTAATGTAGAACTTATAAAATATTGTACACATTTATATGTATATGTGTACCTCAATGTGTATGTAAACTGCTTATGTTTCACTTTTGTACTGTGGATCAGCTTTATTTAAATATTAATAAACTTCCATGTGTTCTTTGTATTGTTTAGAATACCTTCCGTTTCAGGTAACAAAGTTAGAATTGAAGCGACCTTAAAGAGCAAAAAGGGATTTATTCTTTAGCTGAAAAATTTAGAAGTTGTGCAGCCTTTGGGTTGTTTGATGAGCATTGTTTTCATAGATTCAAAGTTTGTCTGCTGTCTGGCTCTTTATGTATCTTCCCTTCTTCCCTCTTTTCTGTTTTACCAATTATAATATTCACTTTGTCTGCTATTACTTGATCTGTTAGTACCAGAGCAGAAATCTGTTTACTCTAAATTGGGTTTTTTTGGTACCGTAGATTGAACTCACAAGCATGCGCTTGCCAGTTAGGCATTTATGCCACTGAGCTAAATCCCCAGCCCCTCCAATTTGTTTTTAATCATTTGTTTTTCATTGTTTTAAAAGTCTTTTGTAGATTACCTATATAAAGAATATTCTCCTGCTTCTATTTTTGTTTCATCAATTTCAATCAGTATCCCAACTCTCCTGCTTTTTTCTTCACTCTCTTCCTAGGGTTATCAGCTTTGTTTTTATATTACTAAAATTTACACATACATTCTCCTCCAAATTCTCAATCAGGTCTTATGTACTTGTTCCATACATTGTTAAGTTGAAAAGCTGTAACATGTGTTGGGTTGTGAGTAAATAAATGTTGTTTGCTGCCAACACATGGAATATGCTGCGACATCATTTCTCCTCAAAGATAGCCTGAGGTTTCAATGTTAGAGATCACTTGAAGAGAATTAGATACATGCAAATGAGTTCTCTTTTTCTTATAACCCTGGTAGTTACATGAAATTATGCTACATTTTAGTTTGCTTTATATTTGAAAAGCAACTCTCCTCTATCATATAACCTTTTTTCAGCATTTGTATTTCTTTTTAAATAATGTATAAGAGAACAGTGCCTTCTCATCTCATCTTGTGTTGCTTTCCTGTCCGTGGTACCAAGTGTGGTTTGGAGTTCCGCATTTTCTGAGAATTTGCTGGTTTCTAACACTCCATGTTAATTGCTCCCTTCTTCTCAGCTGTCAGTTTTAGGGTTCCCTTTTACTACTGTCCTGGATTGGATATACTCTTCCCTGATGCCCTCTTTTTCATTTACTCTTTTGCTTTGTTTCATATACATTTCCAAGAAAACTTCCTTAGGAATTGTATGTAGGAGTTGGTTTCTGGAAGCCTTACTTGTATAAGAATGTCTTTATTCATTAGATGTCATGGACTTCTTTTAGGCCTACACACTTCAAATTAATGTGCTTAGCATAATTTTACTTCTAATACACTAAAAGCCCCTGGAATTTTCAGGCTGATTTGTTTCTTTTTGCCTTCCAGACATTATTGTTAAAATTCTTACTCCACTTTTTATCAATTCTCACTCCTGGGTTTTCTGTTAATTGCTTATTTATTTATATATTTATAGTTTAAAAATTTGTGATCATGAGAAAAAGCATAAAAAGTGAAAGCATTGGCTCATTTATTATGAATTGAAAACAAGAATGAATATTGTACACCAGATTGATATTTGACATGTATAGATTTTTTCTATATTAAAAATAATATTTTTGAGCCAGGTGAAGTGGCATACACCTGTACTCCTAACATTGGGAGGCTGAGGCAGGAGAGTCACCATGCATTTGAGGCCAGCCTGGAGTACATAATGAGTCTCTGCCTCAGAAATAATTAATTTTTACTTAAGATGCAAAAAAAAAATGATAGAAATGCATAATTCGTTCAACAGAGGGGGAAATTGAGTTTTACAGGATATGTTGTATAATATTTAAAATTTCCTTTTTTCTTCTTATTTTAGTAAAATACTGTTTTACTTTCTTAGTCTTATACAAACTAGCAGACGGACCATATTTTAAAAACTTAACTCTCTTCCTATGTGTTTCATCAAGAGTAGTTCTTTTCAAACTTTAAAAAATTTTTAATTACCAATCCGCCCTTAAGCAAAATAAAGCCAAAATTTAAAACTAATCTAAACTATGTTTTCTGTTTTCTTCCCTGCTGTGCTGGTGTTGATTTATGCCAGCTCGAAGCAGTCGCATTCCTCGACCAAGTGTGAGCCAAGGGTGCAGCCGGGAAGCCAGTCGGGAGAGCAGCAGGGACACGAGTCCTGTGCGCTCCTTCCAGCCCCTCGGTAAGTGACGGACAGGCAGCGATGAGATGCAGTCCTCTCTCCTTGAGTTTGCATCATTCAGTAACCTCAGGATGGCTAAAATTTAGCCTTCTTCTCCATCTGTATCTTTGCTCTTGTTTTCTGTCAATTTGGGGGCTGCATCAAAAGGAAATTATGTTTAGAAAATGACTTTGACCTTTCTTAAATGTGCAAATTGTATAAATGAATTGCTTTCATATTCAAATAAGTGTCTTAAAAATCTAAACTTCAGAATAGTGATTTTCTTAACAAATTTACAGAATTTGATTGGATGTTGTTTTGCACACTTAAAATCCCAGCACTTGGGAGGCTGAAGCAAAATGATTGCTGAAAGTTTGAGGCCAGCCTCGGCTACAAAGTGAATTCAAGGCCAGTCTGAGCTGCATAGCAATACGCTATCTCAAAAAGACAATCAGTTAATCAAACAAATTCAGAGAATTTAACTTTTCTTTAAATATTCACTCTCATGTGAAATGTGACCTTAATTTTGTTTAAAAAAAAACAGCTTTGTCCTATTCAGCGGAAAAAATGACTTTGCAACCTAGATCATTTAATGTAGGTTACTACAAAGAGTGTACCAGACAATATATGAACTACTTATTAATGGAAAGAGTTAACATAATTACAGTATTTTATAGTTTAACGGTCATTTCCCATCTATTAGCTTATTATATTGTGTGTTGCTGCTGTTAAATCTGTGTTCCTGATTACAGAGCTTGTATTGTAACCATAATTGTAATACTAAATTTATATCAACTATAAAAATAGTAAATGATTTTTTAAACCATTAGTATTTTTAGGACAACTGGAAAGGCATAATTTTTTACATTGAGAATTTCTAGAATGTCTTCACAATCCTTTAACATTTTAACTAAAAACTTGGCTATTCAGGAGTTTGGGATGATTAAGTAGAATACAGTGCTATTGAAATTCTTATTTCCTCTAACATGTTAGTATACAATGTCAATTAGCTAACTGCTAATTCTCTGGGCCATTGGACATAGATATATTGCAGCTCTATGCTGTACAGACCTTTTAGCTAAAGATATACTAGCTAAAAGGGTTTCAGAGGGTCTCTCACTTTCTCTTTCCCTTTGGGAAGATGCCACGATAAGAAGAATTCTTCTGTATCACTAGGACCTAGTGTGACAGATGCTTTGCCAGAGATATTTTAGCCTGTAGATTTTCTGCATATATGTATATGCATATGCACACATACATGTATGGTACATCCTCATGTATATATATTTAAAGAACTGAAAATTGACATTTATATACAATATAAATGCCATATTGATGAGTTGAAGGAGCACATATTATGGTTCAAGAATCTATATTTGATTAAGTTTATTAGTACATTTTAGGTATACACAATGATCATACTCATCGTAGGGAATTTGTACACATATATCTTATATTTTGCTTTCTCCTTTTTTTCCCAGTCCCTTCTCTTCTTCTCCTTCAAGAACATCTCTTTTAGGCCCAGATAACCTGGTTTCATATCCCAGCTCTTAAACCTTTTTATGCCTTGTTTTCCTTATCTATAAAAGAGATACTATAAATACTTTCCTTATCTGTAAACAAAGATAGTATGTATATCATAGAAGTGTTTGAAAGACTCTACAAATGAGAAAATACATGAAAAGACCCTCAAGGTGGAGTTTGACACACAAAGAACATCCAGTGACTGTTGTCTTTATTGTCCCTATGCCACTACACTTCTGCTACAGTGCCCTTCTCTCCTCTCCGCACCTGCCCCCATGCTGTTGTCACTTACACTGCAGTGGGAATGATCTCAGGTTTTCTAATGGTGTAATACCCATGTTTATATAATACTATATGAACACCATAGGGAATTACTGGAAAACATCAAGAAGAAAACAAAATACGTTTCTGTACCTTTTAAATCTATACCCCAGTCAGAGATTAGAAGAAATTTATAATCAACTACTAACAGTTTTAAAGTAAGTGTTGTTAGTAGGGTACTCTTTAAAGAAAGCCATTGATTTTTCTAGATTCATTTCAAAGGTTCTATTTTATAATTAAAGTAATGAAATTTTTATATTAAAGGAAGCAGTTTTACTGATTCTCGTAAAGCTATTTGGCCTAAAGATAACTCAGCCTTTTAGTTATATATTGTTAAAATAATAATTTTTTTGACCCCTCAGTCAATTTATAGAATTAACTTTTATAGTTCTTTTATTTGCATATAGATACTGAATAACAAAGGCAGTAGTAGATTAGCCCTGGTTCACAGGGATGGAGAGCTGCTTTCCCCGAGACTGAGTGGTCCTTGCTCCTCCTACTGTTCGGCTACATTTGCCTCCAATCTACAGTTCTTCAAATAAGCATATATGCTTATTTGGTGGAATTTTATGTTGTCTATGACTTTGAATATTGATAGTAGATGAATCCTGTAGCTTGTTATCCACTGGTATCACAGGCCATTAGTGAGGACCCTAAGAATTTCAGAAAGAAATCAGAACTGAGAAAAGTGGAACTTCTCTGAAACTTGGTGCCTCAGTTTCCATTTATTTCTGGAACTGACATTTGGGGGGAAAAGCTCACTCTATTATAAACACATGCTAGGTGTCTCAACCACAGATGAATATCGATCTCTTCAAAGATTTCCACCCAGTAGGCATTTTCAGATTTACTCAAATCATTTTTTGCCACTTTCAAAATTATGTCTGTTAGAACTAACCGTATTCTGTAGCGTATATTTTTAAATAATACTAATCACTTTTCAGGATTTATTATTATTTTTGTACAGCATTCTCTCGTCTTTCATTCAGCCCTTTATTATTTTCCTATTCATTCAGGTTTCCCTGTAATAAAGTAGTGATTTGTGTAAAAAAGTGGTTCAACTGCTCTAATTAATACATTTGAACAAGACTAACTTTTAAAATAAAATATTTTATTCAGATTTTTTTTCTTCCAGTTTATTTCTCTATGTAATCGAAAAGTTGACTTTATAGTGTTAGGAAAATCAAAATTTTAAGTTTTAAAGCACAACATATATATCTAGATTCTAAAGCAGTATATAAGGAGACACCACAAATTTTTAGGATTTTTTGTTTTGTCTTAGAATTACTGAATTTTTTTTTTTTTAAATCTTTTTCCTTTTTGTCGGTACCAGGGATCGAACTCATGACTGCCTGCTTGCAAGGCAGGCGCTTATGCTGCTAAGCTAAATCCCCAGCCCCCAAGAATTATTGAATTTTTTTATAAAGGCACTTTGGTATTTAAATAATGTATTGAATGCAGAACTTATATTCAGTGAACCATTATGAAAAATGTTTTTTTTAGCCTGATGAGGTATATTATATATAATGTGAAAGTGTGGTATGTGTACTGTTTAAGAATAAAGAACTTGAAACACTACAGATGCTGAAGCGAATCACTTATTAATAGTGTGGCTTTGATCACATAAATTAACCTTTGTGTTCTAATTTTCTGATGAGTCTTAATCTATTCAGGCAAGCCAGAGTCTGAGTACTTACAAGCTGCAAAAATATATACTCACAAATTTGGAGACCAGGGAGTCTAGGACACTAATAGATTCAGTGTTTGGTGGCAAATCTGTTTCATGGGTCACAGATTGTAGTTGTATCCTTGTGTAACAGGAGCTGCAAGGACTGTTCTGAAGTCTCCTTTATAATTACACAAAAAGGCCTCACCTACCTCCTGATACTGTACCATTGCCTTGGGGATTAGGCTTTCAATATATCAATGGGGAGTAGATACAAACATTTAGGCCTTTATAATTGAATTATAATAACTGCCTCATTGGTTGAGATTAAAGAAGATAAGATAATTATTATCTACCAGTTACCATAGTGGTTTTTTTTTTTTTACCCAGTGTTTTTCCTTTGGTTTTTTTGTTTGTTTGTTGGTTGGTTGGTTAGTTGGTTTGTTTTCATGCTTGTATTTTCAGCATTTCCTTCCATTTGAATGCTTGCTTTTTTGCTTTTATCTTCTATATTTATTTACTTACTTTACTTACTTACTTACTTACTTACTTACTTACTTATTTGTCGTCTCCTCTATCTGTCCACCGAGGGTCTAAGTTGTATCTGTGTGTCAGGAATGATCTTGCAGTGCTAATGTTCAGTTGCCACAGTTGGCAGTATTAATAGTTTTAATACCAGTATTACCTAACTCTCCTTGCCTGACAGTAGTGCTGCCACTATTCCTTGTTTCTGTGGTAATAGATGAGGTTTGTATGGTCCTGTTATTCCAGCCTCCAGACACCATTCCCGATCTACTGGAGCCCTCTATGCCCCCGATGTGTATGGGGCCTCAGGTGAAGGATGAGTACATTTTCACTATCATCTGTGCATTCATCTCAGATTTTGTTCTTTTTAGTTTTCATGGAATGTTACTCATTTTTAAAAATTGATTTGTTTTTATTTAAATTTAACTTGTTGGAGCATATATCACCTTTTTTCTTTAACTTCAAGTAATTTTTTCTACTTTAGCAACCCTACTGAGCATTTTTTCACTACCAAATAGACATTTTTCTTTCCTTTAACCTGTTATGTCATTTTTAAATATAAAATTGTTTTATGTTCTTGGTTGTGTACTTCATCTTTGTTTATATGTTTAAAAAAAAACCAAAATGGTGGATGAAGTGTTTTAATTGTAAATGATGGTATACAGAGCAGTTAAGGGAGAATTCATCTCTGGTTTGTCTTTATATATCTCAGAATGTTGGGCACATATCAGCCCCTTAACAGATACCAAGTGATCTGTCTTAATTATAGAATAAAATCAGCCTACCTTGAAGATGAGATTATAAGTGGAGCTTTTCTTACTAGTGCATTCCTGGTATGACTTCAGTGGTCTCCCAACTATTATTGGTTGGGACTGATCTTTTTTGTGGATTTCTTTGTGTTTCACCCATATGGAGAAAGTTAGTTGAACTGACAGAGCTGGATTAATTACAGGGATATAGATGTCCAGGTTGGTAGTCTGCCAAGTATACATATTTCTACCTGTGGACATGAAGAGCTATTCTTTAAATACATTTCCTATACATTGTTAATAATTTTAACTGCCTTTACCCTTTTATTTGATCAAGAACTCAGCATGCCCAGGAAATAAAATATTGCTTTTAAAATGCTTTTTCCCCATTGGTTTTTTCCCCTCTTAAGGTCCTAAAGTTTCCCAGCCTAACACTATTATTTGCCTGCCTCAAAGCTTTTTTCTTTTGATTAATTAGGTCCCGGGTATGGAATCAGCCAGTCAAGTCGACTGTCATCATCTGTCAGTGCCATGCGAGTCCTGAACACAGGTTCGGACGTGGAGGAAGCAGTTGCGGATGCCTTGGTACTTTTCTCCGTTTCCTTATTATTATCATACATGTTCCTCTTATGGAACCAGTGTGTGAGAAAGCCAGTCTACCTGTGTGGAAAGGGGTGGGAAAGTTCTGTACTGATCCAGCAAGGTAAGATATGGACAGTGTAAAGCAGGTCAGCATACTTAATTCTTGATCTTTCTACTCAGAACTTTAAGCCAGATGAGTGTCGGCTATAGTCATGTCTAATATGGTAATGTGTTTTATGTACTGTATTACACTGAATGAAAAGTGAGATAGATTGATGTACTCACATACACTTGCAGAATTATTTCAGTTAGTGTTGATTTTATTATTTGTGGTTTTTGAGCTAAGAGAAAACACAACCTCAAGGTAAATTACAATTAAGATCTTGGGGGCTGGGGATTTAGCTCAGCGGCATAAGTGCCTGCCTTACAAGCAGGCAGTCCTGAGTTCGATCCTCGGTACCGATAAAAAGGAAAAAGACAAAAAAAAAAAAAAAAAAAAAAAATTAAGATCTCAGCCTGATTATTTATGTCTGACACATTAGGCAGTGAAGTTTAAAAATGTGTTGTACAGATTTATGGTAGTTTGTCAGAAGAGTGCTAGAAATATATCACTGTTGTTTTGTTATTTATGAAACTATCAATGAAGCTGTTTTGGAATTTTGTATATAATTTATTTAGCTAATTTCCCAAGTCAGTTAGTGTGACATTTCCTCTTTCAAACTACAAGTTGTGGTATTAGTCTGATGTGTGAAGAACATGTACTCAATTAGGGGGGAGGCAGAGATGGGGGAGGGGTGCTGGGGAGCAAATCTAGGACCTCAGGAAGACTTACCCAGTTTCTTACTCCGAACTGACAGAAGGCCTCATCTTAGTTTTAAATGCAAACATATCTTATGACTTTAAAAATATATCTTAACTTGTGCTGTCATGATACAATTTTTTTGCCATAGATTTGAAAGACAAGTTCTTTTTTAAAAAATCATTTGTAATGCTATAATTTATTGGATTGTCATTACCTGTGTAGTTCTAGCAGTCATTATTGCTGAATTTTTACCTTTATTTCTGTCATTTGAATTTTTTTAATAAACTAATATAACAAAGTAGGAATTCTGTTCTCTTGGATATGGGATATATTAATCACATCCATTTATGATGATATGTAAAGGGTATTTTAAATTTACTGTTTTTTATCTCTATTCTCAAGGTATATCTGCTAGTCTTTTTAATTGGACTATTTAAAGTATATTTTCTAGTCTTTAAAATTGCATGATTTACCAGTTTACTTCTGCTTATGTAAATTTTATGAATTGAATGGAGTTATACTTGAGCTATCCCTTGTAGTATTAAAATGATGTTATTGAATTATATAGGAGTATTTCAGAAACAGAGGCTAAAATATAAATCCAAATAATTTTATTCTTTCATTATTTGCCTAGCACAGATAACAGTGTTGCAACTACCAATTTGTAAGAAAAGAATTTTCCCACTATTAAACCTATCTTGAACTTGGGTAAAATTAGAGAAATAAAATTAAATTTGAAAATAACAAAAGGATGCAAATAAGAATACTTGAGATTCTTTGGGGAAAGTGGTTATGGGAATACTTTTATAATTCAGATATATCTCTTTCCACTAAAGGATATCGATAAAATTAAAGATATAGCCTGCTAACATGAAGTTCTTTTGTAACTAAATGTTAAAAAAACACTATTTCTGGTCATGGGCAATGTTAATGCCTACTTCACTGTGCTGTTTAGCTAAATGTTCTTCATTATTTTCAATTTCTTTCTTTAAAAATTTACTGCTCTCAGCTCTTAGGAGACATGCGGACTAAGGTATAGACATTATTTTCTGACATCTTATGATAACATGACTTTTTTTCTTTATTTCATTAATTTAAGATGTGATGGTTTTCTATAAAAAAGTAGAGTAATAAAAATCCTTAGACATTTGTCTGCTTTTCTACAGTGTGGTTGTCAAGAGAGAGATACTGCCTGAATAAAGAATCTTCTGGGGTTGCTAGTTTTTTTTCAGGCCAACTACTTATACAAATGAGATGAGATCATTTCCAGTGATGTTTATTACAAACTGATTCTGGACCCTAAAACAGGAAACACACAGTGTGGCTGTTCTAAATTAAGTTGGTGTCCAGAGCAAATGAGTGCAGTGAGTGCTGGAAGCATTACAATGCTATTTTAAGTTCAAATCATACTTTTTCTGATTTTAAACTATGGAGAACCTATAGTCACTTGGGACTATTTTAAATTATTGTGTTTAATATTTTGATTGAAATATCTTTACCAGCCAAAGTCCAAATATTATATTATGTAGATTTGTTTCCAGTTCTTACAGTGCAAATCTAAATGACCCATTCTCCCTCATCATTTTTCATATGCAAGGTATAATCACCTGTTATATAAATTATAAACCTTAGATGCAAAGAAACAAAGTGAATCTGAATATGCTTTCTCATATTTATTAAAGTAGATGGTATAGATATATTGAGAAAACATGGAGGGCCCTTAAGGATCTTGCCTCCTAAAAGTAATAGCAAAACAGTTTCTCATAATTCTTTATATTTTACTTGCCTAGGAGACAGGAGGCTTGGATACAAGGGAAGAGGAAAGAGACTAGGAAAGGCAAGACAAATGAGACTTAAATGGGGGAAAGCATGTACATTTCTGATCCACTGTACAACTCTAAAAAGATAATATTTTTCTTGCTAATTTAAATTTCTAGTAAGTTTCTGTTAATTTTACATTCTAATAGTTCTTGGTTTTCCATGAAAAAGATTAAGGAAGAAAACCCACATACTTTAGTACTTCCCACCTAGGTATCTGAACTTCTAGGTAGTCTTCCTTTTCCCTGGTACCGATAAAAACGCAAAAGACCAAAAAAAAAAAAAAAAAAGAATATTTCACCTTTGACTAATTTCTGAAGTATATTTTCTGAACAAAAATCAAATGTTGATATTTTACAATTATTATAATGAACAGCGTGTTTTGTATTGATTTTAAAACAGAAGCCAGTCCTTTTGTGGTCAAGAGATACTATGAATTACCAATACCTTTTTAGCTACTGCTAATGATGTTCTTTGTATATAACAGAAAAAACCTGCTCGAAGAAGATACGACTATGGAGTACATTCAGATGATGATGCTAACAGCGATGCCTCCAGTGCTTGCTCGGAGCGTTCCTATAGTTCTCGAAATGGTAGTATTCCTACGTATATGAGACAGACGGAAGATGTGGCCGAAGTGCTCAATAGGTGTGCCAGTTCCAACTGGTCAGAGAGGAAGGAGGGCCTCCTCGGTCTGCAGAACTTGCTAAAAAATCAGAGAACATTAAGGTGAGATGCGTTGTCCTAAAATAATTATTCTCGCAGCTCAGCACTTTTCAGCTGTATTTCTTATAGTGCTTTAGAGATAATGGTATAGAAGCACAGTTTTCCTGAATTCAGAGGTTGTGTTACACTTTTGCTAAGCTTCATTCCTTTATAACTGTCTTATAACTTATTAAACCATTTTAAACTTGCTTGCTCTATTTAAAGAAACATCTTGCCTTTGTAATTTTCCCTGACTCCTTCACTGTCCTTGTCTACATAATGTTGAGTCCTTTGTGATTAATCCTCTTCAAATCATGATTTTAGGTAATTTCATAGGTTTGCGTGGTGGAAGGTAGAAGGCCACTTTCTGACTTGATACCTGTAAAGTCAGGACTTGATATATTTGCTGGGTATTTATTTTAGGAAGCATTAGAACTATGTAATTTAAAGTAAATGTTTATAACTACCTAATTATTTTCATATACACAATAACACATTTTATGACTCACTGCTATAAGTCATCTAAATATTGTCTAGGTTCATCACGAGTAGTTTAATGATAGGTTTCGTGTATCACTTCAGTGACAGACAGTAGGCCTTAGAAAGATTTTAGATCCTAAGTGGCAAAATTTAAGAAAATATCTGAACACTTAAAATAATAAAATTGATGTACTGGGACGGCTTCAAGGAAATTTTTCCTATCTTGCTATGTTACTGAATGCAATTGTGTTTCTTTTCAGAACTTTCAACCTTTGTGATAGTGTAGGTTACATCAGAATTGTTGCATTTGATACCTTTGCAGTTAGCCCTAACTAGTAAATCCCACAGCTTTCTCAATTTTATGGGCTGATATCTGTTGTCATTGTTGTTCTTATTCTTGTTGTTAAGGAAATCTAATTATATTTAAGCTTGCTTTTAAATAACTTCAACCTATACCATGATATTAATCAGCTATCTTATTATTTTTGGCAGTCGAGTTGAACTGAAAAGATTATGTGAAATTTTCACAAGAATGTTTGCTGATCCTCATGGCAAGGTATGTTTTAGTATATAAGATTATTTACTCCTACCAACCCCCAAGATAAGTAAAATAATAGCAGAAAACTGTCATTTTTATTATACTGTTGATCTAAAATTATAGTAATATTTTCAAACATAATTAAACTTAATTAGCTAATATCAAACATAACCTAGAAAGTGCTCTTTGACACTCCAAAGCAAGAGTTTTTGATAGCAAAAACTAAAGGATGAAGTTACAAGCACAGCTCTTTTTATAATTTAGTCGGGAGTGAGTGAGTATATTTTGTATTACTAAAAGTACTTTATTGTTTGTGAAGGCCATATATGAGACAAGTTTTAAAGTTTCTCCTATTTCATTGTTTTCCTCTGTGGTTATTAGAGCATTAATGTAAATATATCTTATCTTAAAAAAACAAATTTTGTAGGAAAAATTGCCATTAACCTAAAATCACAGAGTGTGATAACCATACCTAGTAATAATATAAAAGAAAAACATTTCATACATTAAAATAATGTTTAGTTTAATTTTTAATGTTGGTTTAAATATATTTAAGTACTTATGTGTAATTGGCATATACACTATTAAATTTTGGTTTACCTTGATATGTAATACTGTAACAAAAGTGTATTGTTATTCTGTTTCTAGCAATGTTTTTGGGTGCTATAAAATTTATTACATCTTTCTTTAGAACACAAGTGGATACAGGAGAATTTCTAACGTAAATGAAAGGGAGTTGTGGTGAAAAAATTATTAAAAACAAATAACTTGCATTTTACTCTTTTTGCCTTTACTTTTGCGCACATCATTTTCTCATGTTTTTTCTATTTTCATTATTCATGGCACTATTTAAATTAAAATCCAACTGATTTAAATCCACCGAGGTGCATAATTATTTAAATTGCTTATACTTTAAAACTATTTTTCAAAGACTATTCTCTATTATAAGTATATTTCATTTTATCTGAAAATAAAAAGTCCCATTAAAAGACAAAAATAAAATACTGTTGGTAAGCAACTTATTAACTAAAGTTTTTTAAAGTTTATAATTGTCAAACTGATAATGTAGATAACTACCATTTTATATTGATGCTGCTACCACTAATTGCAGCTGGAGGTCTTGCTTTTTTGATGTAAAAATGTCTGTCAATTCTAAATAAATCATCTTTAATGATTCCAGTTGCCAGTATAAATCAAGGGGCAAGATAGTTATCTGAATGAGCCTATTTTAATTAATAATATATTCAACTTTGAAAAATACAGTTATTAAATACCTTTAGTAAGTGACATAATTTATCACTGTTGAAAGGTGTAAGACCAAGGCTGAATTATTTCTTGAGGTTATAATTTTTTACTTTTTTTAGCGCAATAATGCATTTTAGTTGAATGCCTGAATATGCAGTGATAAAGAGAAACGTATTTTAAAAGATCAAATAGGAAAGCTGAGTTTGACATTGGTAAGGAACTGAAATAGAACACAATTGTTGGCTTCCCTTAATAGATGTGGAGAACCAGCTTATACTTCTACCTTGAACTATAGTCACCAAAGGTGACTTGGTTTTTCTTCTTAGGCTTTTAAGTAACATAAAATTATTATTGACCTAGCTGGTTTGTTTCTTTGTTTGAGATTTTTTTAGTCATCTCTTCAGTTCATGATCAGCTGGCTATATGGTAAAAACATGGGAAACCCTCATGGCAAAAGAAAGCTTCTCACCAGGAATTGATGATGAAGAAAGAGCCAGAGAGAAAGGGGCCAGGGGTCAGATGTAGCTCCCAAGATCCACCAGACACACACAAGTTTACTTTAGAAATCTCCTACACAGGGCTCTGGGGATTTAGCTCAGCAGCATAAGCAACTACCTTGCAAGCAGATGGTCGTGAGTTTGATCCCCGGTACCGATTAAAAAAAAAAAAGATGATCTTGGGGCTGAGGATTTAGCTCAGCGGCATAAACGCCTGCCTTGCAAGCAGGCAGTCGTGAGCTTGATCCCCGGTACCAATAAAAAAGAAAAAGAAAGAAATCTCCTACACAGCACTGCTGCCAGTAATGTTGACAATTATGATTTAACTATCACAGTGATTGTCCACTGCTGGCACTACTAATAATGTAATTTAGTGATAATAGATTGAACATATCCCTATGTTGTACTGAATTTGAAATGTAAGGATCTAATTTGTATTTTTTGCGTTATATCATGATATTATTAAGTAACAGATGTGCCCTCCCCTTTTAATGTTATCTGTAAAGTACCAACAATTCCATCTTCGGGATCATTTAACTTCTTTTCTTTTCTTTCCAAATGCAGTTGTATTCTGTAACAAAGATCAGCCAATAATTTCTGTAAATATTTATGGCTTTGTAGGCCATAATTAGTCACTGTCCTAGCTATTCAATTCTGCCATGCTAACATGAAAGCATCCACAATAGCATCCGCAATGTGTAACAAGTCAGTGTGGCTGGGTTGTAGTAAAAACTATGTTCATGAACATTAAAATTTGAATGTTCATAAAATTTTCATGTGTTACTAGTCTTCTGATTATATTTAAAATTTTAAAAACCATTCTTTAAAGTCCATAATTTGCTGGCCCCTTTTTATATGGCTCTTCGTCTCTGGCACTAATACAAGAACATGTTTAGGAGTTTGATACATCACAGCTCGTGTCACTTGTTAAAGGCCTGAAAGATAAACTTGGCTGGTCTCTCCAAGTCATACAGTTCTGCGTATTTCCATGTCCCTACCTGCTCTGTGGCTCTTGTCTGAGTGCTCAGTAACACTAGGCAGTGCTTTCAGTGTTTGCTTTTGTCCCCCATGAAAACTGTCAAATACTCTTTTACCATAAAAACCCAGCCCTGCTTATTTCCCTACTCACGTCATGCCTTGGAAGATACAGGGCTCTGAGTTTACCAACAGAGTAGAAACCATCAAACAGAAACTGGAACTGCACATCACCCCCTCTAACTTTCTGTCTTCCTTCCTTCTGAGACAGAAAGCAATCACCCTGAAACTGCATTGCTAGATATATGAATATCCTTTTTTCTGCTAATATTATCTCATCTACTTGGGTTTCCAGGAATTTCTCATAAATTTCAGTTTGCTGATTGATTTTCTCCTTTTGTTTTTCAACTTTGTTATGAATTTATTCTTTGTTCATATATATCTTTTTTTTTTTTTTTTAGTGGTACTGGGGATTGAACTTGGGACTATGTGCATGCTAGGCAAGCATTCTACCACTGAGCTGCATCCCTAGCCCAAATTTTGTTTGTTTGCTTGTTTGTCTGGGTTTTTTGAGATAGGATCTCGCTATGTAATTGAAACCATAAACTCACTAGCCCAGGCTTTCTCAGACTCATGGAGATCCTCCTACTTCAGCCTCCCAAATGTACCACCATCCCTGGCCTCAGATGTACCTGTTCTGTCATTTAAGGAATGTGGCATGGGATATGAGAAAAGATAGGTTTTTCTATTATACTTAATCCAGTCTTCCTCACACCATTTCTCTTATTCTTCTTTTCAGACACCTATAGCTGGTTTTACTAATATTAGTGTATGTAGAATGTTTCCCTAGGCCCTCTTATTCACGCTATGCCTTTTCTGAAGTTTCCTTATCTGCTTTCCTAATATTTTCCAATTACGTATTTCCAGCTTTGTTTTTCTCCTGCACTTAGTTGTATCACTGTTGCTTGCATTCATTCTACAGCATCTGTATATAGTATTTATTCCAGGCCCATCCCCCATGTAAGCTAAAATCTATATATAATGTGATCAAAAATACAATGAATGTTTAAAAACTTTTTTAAAGATTTATTACAGTGAGCAATACTCAGTCATAGTGGTACATACCTGTAGTACCAGCACTTAGGAGGCAGGGACAGGAGGATCACTGCAAGTTTGAGGCCAGCCTGGACTACATGGTGAGTTCTAGACCAGTCTGAATTACATAGCAAAAGCCCCTCTCAAAAAAAAAAATAAAAAAGCCCCAGTGAGAGGTTCACACCTATAATCCCAGCACTCAAGAAACTGAGGCAGGAGAATTGCATTGAGTTCAAGTACAACCTGGGCTACATAGTGTGTTCAAGGTCAGTCTAGATTACACAGCAAAACTCTGTCTCCAAACAAAATAAAACAAAACTTATTACATTGAAAGAGACACTGCCATTCCTCTAAAAATGCTGCTTCCCCTCCCTTTAAACACATTTATCCCATTGTTCTTGCCACTTTTTGAAGCAATTCTGTAAGTCCTCTTGTGTGTCTTTAGCTGCATTGTTATGGCTACATAGGTGTCCTGAATTGATTGAAAACATTGCCTTTCATATAAATTTTGACTTTGAAGAAGAGCCAGAAGTCACATGATGCTGGATCTGGGGAGTAATAGAGATGAGGCTTACTTTAATGTTTTTACAAGCCTGCTTTTCCACTGGATGGCATTGGCAGCAATATTCACTGTATTTTTTTAATCATATCTTATAAAGACACTAACAGAATAAGACTTGTAGAACTACTTGAGAAAATGGCAAAAACAATGAGATAAGTGTGCTTGAAGTAGGGGAGAGTGTGGGAAATTAAGGGCAATGTGTAATTTACCATGTAATTTTCAAAAATTTAAATATTAACTGTATATTTTGTACTCCTGTGTGTGCAAGTCCTTTGTGTAAAATAGTGCCATGTTTGCACATAACCCACGCACATCTTCCCACATACTTTAAATCATCTCTAGATTGCTTATAACGCCTAAGACAATGTGAATGCTTGGTGAGTAGTTTTTATTGTTTAGGAAATAGTAACAAAATATGCAAGTTTAACATAGATGCATTATGTTTAAACATTTTGATCCACAGTTGGTTGAATCCATGGCTATAGAATACACAGATACAGAGGACTGATACTATCTCAAAATAATCTTCCTTCTCCATTGTCTTCTCTTATTAGAGGATACTACCATCACTTGGTACCCAAGTGAGGAACTTGGCATTATTCTAGAAATGTTATTTGACCCTACTAACAACCTTATGTCTCTGT